AATAAAAATAGATAAAACACACAAATATTAAAACTGCCGAAATAAATCTTTGATCTAAACATTCTGATATGGACAGCTATAGGAAACGCGTCAAATTTGAACGTAAAACAATTAAGAATCAGTATTGGATCATGAAGAAGCTGATGAAGCTTCGAGCCATGTCAAGTACACGCAAATAGAGCAAACATTACAGTCACTCAGACGTACGAAATGATCGAACACGTTATAAATCCCCAAGCAGCGTTCCCCCGAGCTAGACGGTCTCTGTTCAAGAGGATATACACTATCATAGCAGTGCTCTTCACCCAACACTTCCTACCAGGTAACAGTTTCCCGTTGTTCAGGCTCACGTGTGAGCTCCCAGTCTAAGCACGTAACTACACTGTTAGAAAAAACGGTGAAAAAACGGTCCCACTGGCGTTCTAGTGGCCGGTCGCCCCGTGAAAATAAACTGTTTCGCCGTTTTTATCAGATGTTTTACGGATTTTTAGTGTTAAATTAGAATAAAAACGGCGACACGGTGTTTCTTTTCACGTGCCGACCGGCCACTGAAACGCCGGTAATACCGTTAACGGGAATTTTTCTAACAGTGTAATATATTACGTCAGAAACAAATAATGTAAATGAATAGTGTGATTCGAAATGCTAATAATGACTTTCTTCAAGGCTCAGCTAGTAAGTTTTGCGAAACGACCGTAAAAGGAATCACGACACATGACATTAAGCAACATAGTATTTCATGAAGAATTTCTATTTTATCACCAAAACTCAGAAAAATTGTCTGAAGAAATTATTTAAATAAGGAAATTTAATCCTGAATAATGTTACCATTCACAGGTAATGGTAACTCCGTTACCATTAAGTATTTCCTAAGCAAAGCATAAACAAGCAAGTATCTCAACAAGTCGCAAGCGTGTGATGATCTTTCAGTGCGGAATAAGAGCGGAACTACGCCTTACAGTAGTCGAGATGACTGGGGTGCAAGCACAGAGTTTGAGTAAACAGAGCTGAGCCACGCTGGTAAACAAACACGAACGCATGCTTCTGTTTTGGTGGCTGCTGGAGAACGCATCTACACTGGGTGGTAATGTGCGAGGCGATCAGGTAGTTCGTAGCAGTAGAATTTCAATTTGATTTAGGGTTGTTTAAGTAAATAAGTATAGTTCAGTCATGCTTCACGTGTATCAACATTAGCACACGATATTCCACTCTACAATGAAGAATGTGATTGTGAGGTCTTGTCTTGAACAATTATTAATTATGAACATTACAGGAATTCGTGCGGTGTCAAATGTCTCTCGCAATGAATTAGTACGTGAAAACTTAGAAAAACGATAGTACTATCGACATATTTAATTATAATGTGAATGGATGACGAATATCATTATGAAGCTAAGCTTGAATCCAATAGTCGAAGCAAGGAAAACAGATATTTGAATGAAAATTAATCGAAGAATATACCCAGAACGGGTGAATGCCAATAGTACCTATCTTCACGATTGCACAGATTTACAAGCATATTTCTGATGAATTCCACTATTCATAATGATTAATTTCTAATGCGCAGACCAATGAAATGGTATGTATGTTAATTCACGAAAAAAGTATTTAGTTTACCCTGTGATAAGATCTCGTATGCATATTATAGTACGTGAAAAATTATGAGAAAGGCGGTCTATGTTTTTAAATGTCAAAGTTTATTTTTCCGGTGTAAGAAACATATTATTCGTTCTTTGAATTCGTTGATTATGACACATATGGCACATATTATTTAATATTAATAACCCACAGTCCTGAAGAATTTATCGACAAATGAAATTAAACTACTTTTATGGGCAGGAAAACGTGATTATTACGAATTATGCAAAGGATCTGAACAAGTAATTGATCCTGGCAATAAGACCCTGACAGAGGACTTGATGGTTTGCCGCACTTGGGCCCCGACAAGTTTCACACACTGGGCATTTCAATCAGGGATCTGCCGCTGATGTGAGGTCAGCCCTCACAGGAGTTTATGAATGAACGCTTTGTACAGCACAACATCGTTCATCAAGCCCACCACGGGCCTGCGTTCTACGATAATTATACTGCATCGGGCCTCCAATTGACCGAGAACAAAACTACGCCCACAACATGACTCACTGAACAACCAATACCCAGGCAAGGAAATTATGCTATTGCTCAATGAGTAAAAGAATGGCTAGTAACATTGTCAAGGACGGCATTAATTTGTTTAGGGAGGCCACTGTGCTTATTTTCGGTTCTCGTTATAAATTTTTCTGCATAAGGATAGGTTTGTAGGCAAGTACTGTCTACTATTCATTTGATGACAATCAATATTCAACTTCTAATATGCTGAACATCTAATATCAATTATCAATAGATTCAAGGAGTATTTAAATGTTAATGAAATCTTTCAGTTTAGGAATTTTTACAATCTGCTGCAACATTCAGCAATTGTTAAGTTCACAAAAATATCACGATTATGCACATTTAAATAGCAAAAATAAAAACCATAATACAATTTTCTGGCTACTTATGGCAATTGAAAGCTTTATGGTATCATAATCATGAACAAGTCAAAATAAGTAATAGAAAATAGCAGCTTTTTTTTTAGGATGCATTGTATGCCTTTATGCCTGTCTTCCATGTACAGTATACCTTCACATGTATACCTCATACCTGTATACCTTTATGCCTGTCTGATCAATTTGGGACACTGAAATTAAGAAACAAACATAAGGACTCTCTAATTAAACCCACATCTTCTCTTTATTGATAAATTTTCTTCATATATGTACTTGCTCAATTAGTATGCATTTTTTGATGTTACCACACAGTAAAATTAAGAATGAATGAAACATATACTATGTCTGAGAAGGCTATATTTTTAATGATGATCATTAACTTCAGCCATATTTGATAATGCACATCCTTTCATTTAGACTCCAAAAAATGAGGATGTTGACATAGAATGCGAGTGCTGCGCCACTGCTGTGATAATGTGATCCATTTTTGGAGAATACCACACAATTTTAGATTAATTTTATGTCAGGATACAAAAAGATTTTGGTGAAGTTGTTTCCCATGACTTATGGAACTACTGCTCTTTACTATTGACCTTCATTTTCTTTAAAAATTGAATAAAAGATGACAATGTGCCACTGATTTTTGTCAACTAGGTTGAATTAATGGTTAGATTGGATGTAATTTGCCTGTCACTTCACAAGATAGAATAACAAAATTCTCATTGAAATATTGCAGCACAAAATTTTCAGTAAGCTTGTAACCTTGTAGCTCAATTGAACAGTTTTATTATCAATTAGAAAGGAAATAATTATTGAAACAGAATTCTTGCTTCCTCAAAATTGGCAAGTAAGCTCAGCTGCCAAATTTTGGAACAGAAAATATACATAAATATATTTTCCAAACACGACTTAAAATGGATTCACTTCTACAAAAAAATTACTTGATTTAAAATTTGTTTTCAATGCTGCTTAATTATCAAGCATGTAGGTACAAAAATACACATGGTTACTTGGATACAAGATATTTTCTGCAATTGGCAGTGAGTTGACACTAGAAATCAAGATTGCATTAATTCCATGTTTTACTGAAATATCTGTAATTCTGTATGCCAATAGTCAAACATTTTGACAAGTTAGAAGTTTTAGAGCTGTCAGCTTGATCTTGCAGTTTAATAAACAGCTAAATATAAGGTTATTATCATAGTAGGGATCAAGCGGCATGAAACCGCTGTTGAAAATATCTACCGTACCTCAAGATCGGTAACATAAGCTTTCCTGCCATTTTTGGAACTGCAAGCTTCTTGACAGATGAATTACCTCTTATCTAATAGTTAATAAAATAAAAGAGGACGATGGGGCCACAATATCCCTAATGTATTGAAAATTTGTCACTTTAGACAGATTTCTGTAATAAGTAGGAAAATTCCATTCCTGAATTATTTTAACAGAGATCTTGTCCATATGGGTGTGAAAATGGCAGGAGAGCTTCAATTGTTTTTTAAAAAAATATATAACTTCCTGCCTGGCTGACCAGTTCTTGTTTAATAGTCATTTCAATCAGTAATAAATAACAATTACTACATTGCATGATTGCTGTTAGCAAGAAACAAAAATTTTAGTGTGCCAAATGTAACCAGTTGACAGACTGGACAATCTTTTTATAATAATAAATTCAGTTTTCAGTCTTTTCACTTCAGTTTCAGTAGTATTATTACATGAAGTATCAAATCAAGTTTTAAAGTACCATACCGTAAACTGGGGTAACTTTGACTCCCGGGGTAACTTTTTTTTGGTTACTCATTAAACATTTTTCAAGTTTACTCACACTCATGACTCACCATTCACCAACTCTCATGAAGAAACTATCCATGTGATGAAATCAATAATGATGATTCAAGGAGAAAATGAAAAAAAATCATGGTTACTCACAGTCTCACACTCACCAGTCACTGACTCTCATGAAATGATGAAGAAACTATCCATTCCATGTTAGGCCTATGAAATTAATAATGATGATTCAAGGAGAAAAGTGAATAAATCACGGTTACCACTTACCCACACTCACCGACTCTTATGAAGAAACTATCCATGTTATGAAATCAATAATGATGATTCAATGAAAAAAGTGGCAAAAAATCATGTTTACCTACTCACACACCGACTCTCATGAAGAAGCTATCTATGTTATGAAATCAATAATGATGATTCAAGGAGAAAAGTGATAAAATCTCAAGTTCAACTTCAAGGCTTCAGCTTGTAAGGAATTTTGGTTTGTTATTATCTGATTGTGAATACATATACTTCCCGTCTCATTATATATAATTACTTACGCAACATTTTCATGTTTGGCCGGGATATATCACAATAGGATTACAACGCCCAGTCCGAAGTGTCGTTCCTGAAAAATACGATGACGCACAGCGGCACAAAATCTGAAAATCAGCCTTTGAATGTGGCGTTCAAGCCTCTTACCTGCTATCACAGTATCACTTAAATTATACTTCGATGCATTTTTAGGATATTCTTTTATTTTGCGTCCACATAAGAATAATTCACCAGTCAACACAGACTCTTCTAAAATACGATCAAGCGTTCTCGCGATTGTCGTGGCGGAACGACCCGAATGTAACCCTGCCATCCCCGCCATCTCAGAAACACTGAGCTTGTAGCACTGCGTTTGGCATCAAACAAGTGCAGCGCAGTCTATCCTCTACTCTACTCGTGGATAGAAATTTAGCCTTATCTCCGCGCAATCAGTTATTGAAACTATCTAGAAGGCAGCGATCACAAAATGTTTAAACTTTCATAACATTCATGTCCATTTAATAGTTTCATTTAGAGGCATGATGCTTGTCCATGATGCTGCCATGGTAATTGTTTTTAGTATATTCGACCAAGTAATTTTATCTAAGTTACCCACAAATTTCCCGGGAAAGTTTCAATTTATGCGGACTTGTCGAGCTAAGCAAATAATGATTACCAATTGTTAATAATTTCCAATATCCGTAATAAAATGTATAAATTATTATGATTTTGCTTCAGCCTCATCATTCATTCATGTCTGCATGGACACTTCTACGTGCTCGCTCGCGAGCTCGTCGGATTTTCCACAAGCAACAAGCAAATTTTGCTACAATGCCTTAACTGCGAACGGATTTGCATGAAATTCAGAGCATAGCTCATTATTATCAATGCGCTTAGGTTAAGATAATTAGATATTTTTGCGTCAAATTATTTCATAATAAAACGAAAAAATGCAATTTAGGCGCAACTGAACTACTTACAAGTCCATCAATTGGCGCATTGCTAATAATTATTTATGTCCCGAATTTTATACTAATTCGTTCATAATTGAGGAACTTGTGAAGAGTTACTTTAGTGACCCTATGATTACTAGCGCTTCAGCTGCTAACCTATCTCGCGCCGAATGTCACGTTGGGCATTATGGGCTAAGAACATATTGCATCACATGTATTCAGCGTTTACCAGATCATATACAGTCGAACATGTTTATTGCTCCCAGGTACTCTACGAGGCGGTCAACATTATAGCTACCGTGTTCTGGTTGGGCCAAAATACTTTTTAGGTGTGTGTCGGGGTCGTTTTGGCTTAGATGGGGGAAAAATTGCCGTCGGGCCACACCAAATGATGGGCACTCACAGAGGGACTTCATCATTCCAGGGTGGTGTCTCTTCAGCCGCTGCGCGGCGTGAAAGTTCATCCGCGGCCTCGTTGCCCGTTATCTTCACATGACCGGGGACCCAGCAGAATGTAATTGTCTTTTGGCGCGTGTGGAGTCGGATAAGCCATCTATGTATGGTGGTTACCAGGGGATGCGGTGAGTTGTAACATAAAATCGCCTGAATTGCACTCAGGGAGTCGCTGAATATGCAAATCTCCATGTTTGTGCTCTCCCTTGCAATTGCGATGGCACACAGGATGCCGTATAGTTCTAGAGTAAATATTGAGGAGTAGCTATGCAGTCTCAGCGAGCTCCTCGCAGCGTCGCTAACCGCTGCGCATCCAACTCTGCTATCGTCTTTAGAGCCATCGGTGTATATGTGCATGCATCGTCGGTGGCATGTGTTGATGTGGTCGAGGAACAGAGACCTAATGCCATCAGCTGAGTGATCACTTTTTCTGCCCTGCATGAAGCCAGGGCAGACCACGGAGGGGGAGAGCAACCAGCGTGGGTTGTTGCAAAAATCAATGGGTATGGTCTGTACAGTTAGATGCAGGCGTGCGCAGATCTCGCGAGCTCGAGAGCCAAATGTCTCGCTCGCTCGGCGGGCACCCATGGGCCATTGGTGTGTAATGCTCGAACTTGTGAAGAGTTTGGTTGGACGTTAGCTGTATTTGAACCCGCTGACGAGCACGCAGACCAGCACGAGTGTTGATCCAGTTCATTGTTAAAGTGATTTGACAGCAGGCTAGCATCAACGATGGCATCAATAATAACATAACGAATTTTTTTCATCATAAACTATTCATTATTTACACTTGTGATAATATGCTGGAAATTCGTGTTTTCAATTAGAATCAAATTCAAGATTTACAGCGGATTTTTGGGCAGAACTAAAAAATTAGAACAAGGCATAATTATCCGTGTAAATTAATGACTGATTCGAGTTTCCGCGACTGCGACTAAAAATAATTTTCACGTTGATATTAAAACTTCAAGTTCGGTTCTTTTCGCTTATTAGACATTTTCCTAGTATCAAAGACTTTACACTTGTAACAGACAACAATAACTATTTAGAGGTCTATCCATGTACTTCCATGACTGCAATCACTCAAACGATTCCGGAATTAATTTTTATTGATTAAACGGGTTGCATACAAAACAAATTTTTTGGCTAAAACATTTAATAGTAAGCGCTGTTGTAGTTTGGTTGCAGCTCGAAGCATGTCAAGAAGTGTCGGTGATCTGGCTGTCTTCCACCTCATGGCGGTTAGGGAAGTAGACTTTGAAGGAGAAGTCAGTCTTCAAGAACGAGCCCTGCAAAAAAAATTAAATACGACAAAATAACTAAAAATAAATGAAAAACTTGCAAGGAAATTTAGATAAATATCCTACATGTAAGTTAACGTTTGTAATGAATACCACAAAAAGCAATTTTCTTTTGATGTGCCAATAGCAAAGATAAAATTGCAAGACGAGGCAGTAACAAACGGAGACAACATCAAACGAATATTTTAAAAACTTAATACTATCGATAGCTCTTCGAAAGAAGAGAACAAATATTATTGCGGATTAAAATAGCTGATGGTAAGGCTGTACGATATAATGAAGATGTAAACACTTTCGAAATTGATGTAATCTCAACAATAGATCGGATTTAATAATCGCCTATAAATTCTTCTTACGCAAGATCGTACAACCAAAATAAAGAAAATGAATGGAAATTAAATGAACTCTTAACGGCCGCGCAAAGCTCGTTCGTCATTCAACGGACGAAAATGAACGTAAATCTCGTATTCTCATCGAACGAAAAGTTAAATAAAGACAAGTAATAAAAATTAAAATATACAAATTATCTACTATGCTGAACAGAAATAAAAGTGAAAAATATCAACCCCCATGCACATCCAAACAAAAATTTTCTCAGATTAAAATTGTCGTGGAATTTCGATTGAACTTAACTTGTTAATATTATTTCAATATGATTTAGAATTGAAGTTGAATATGATTTAGAATTGTCTATTTTGAAGTTGGCGCACAGTCACAGACGAAATGTTAGATTTAGCATGCAAGTCGTGAGGAGTTGGTTATTATGGATGGAGGCTTTGCAACTGCATTTTATTTCAAGCAATGATTAACACTTCCAGACCAAACCGACAAGGATAATTTTCATGGCATGTGAAGCGTACAGGGTTGGTGATGATGGCGCCATTGTTGGTGGATGTGAAAGGATCCGCACGGTCAGCAATGACAATAAAATCAGGCGTGGGGTGCAGGTTGAGGCAGTGATCCTGGTCCCAGTAAGTAGGCAGCACGTTGGGTGGGAGCGGTGCGAGGTGCGACTGCGATATCAGCGTTTGGCAAAACTGAAAATTTAAGTGAGATACTATTTAATGGGTTAAAACATATTTATTAACACTTCAAATAGATACTGGCATACAATTTGAAAGCCTAAATCTGCTTCAATATATGGTACAACAGTGAACTATCTACATGGAATATTGAGAAGCCACCATTTATGATGTATCGAATAACATGCTCAAACATGCTCAAACCTAACCTAACACTTTAGTGGCAAAATGTTTACTAGCGCTTCAGCTATTTAGCTATCTCGCACCGAAAGTCAAGATGTACATCACCATAGAGGTGGAAGGTCTCAATTATTCATCATCCACAAGGGGCGGAAGGTCTCAGATGTCCAGCCCGCTGAAGCAGGCTCGAAGGAAGCAGCGTTAGCATCTCAAAGAGACGAAATGACAAGGAGAGACAAGTGAAAAGCACCAGAAACGAAGACACTCGAACAAGAGGTCGCTTACACGGGACGTCGGCCGCCCGCACGAGAGAGACAGAGAAGGGAGATGTAAGGAATCCTGCCTACATAACAACTTAACCCCACGACTGAGACCTGCAGTCAGACACCGCGAGCTCAACGGTGGGGCGCGCAGGAACAATCCCCCTAGGAACGCGAAATCCCATAGGACTTCTGACGCGCACAACCTAACTGAAAGATGATATCCTTATACGTGAGGACGTTAGGCTACTTTTTTCATAGGTATTTTAGCGAAAATCAGACTACAAAATACCCAGAAATGTTGACTTTATGTAACAATTGCCATGTCACAAACTCCCATAAGATCATGATATTGAAGTTCTGCATGTGATAAAAAATTGAAAACATGTCCAAAAATTGGCCTGGAAAATCATTACATCAAAGCGAATGAAATTTCAATCAATTGTTAACTATATCTCAAGTACTCAGTGCTTAAATATTCAAAACTGAGTAGATCATTTTAAATACCAAGATTGAACTCTTACGAGCACGTAGAATTATTCAACTCAGCAGCATTTCCTTCCTGAGTAATCACATGAACTATAAAATAATATTATAATAAGAGCTTGGCCTTACACGAAATAACTTTTCCAACGCTGCATCTTTCATTTTGTTTACCTGGTTTCAATAGTTCATGAAATACTAGGTGTCACAATAGCTAGGTAGTAATATAATAGAGGATATAATAAAAAATAATAGTTTACATGAGAAGGTATATCCTCGGCATCAGTGGGGAAATAAACGCAGTTTCTACATATTTTTGTCATGACGTCCTCCCTGAAGACGACCATCTCCTGCGTACAGTAGAGGATGCGGCACGGGTTCGTCATAAGCTCGACATTGGGAACCTTCTGCCGGAGGCCTTCAGTGAGGAATTTTGGAAGGGCTGGTCTGCACAAAATGCACATACATACGATACAGATATTATTTAGGAGGAGCAGGACTATACAGACATTATTTTGGGAGAGTTGGGCAGCACACACACACGCTTCAATTATTACTTTGAAAAAGCATGACTGTGAAGACATTATTTTGGGAGAGTTGGGCAGGACTGCACAGACATACGGTAGACATTATTTTGGAAGAACCGGGCTATACGTACAAAGGATTTGGGAATTTTATTGTAAAAGCACATTATGATGGGCTAATTAAGATGAGATGAATTTTCTACAATGGTTTAATGTTGCGGTCTAACAACGACATAATGGTAATAGACGCAATCAGCCATCATTTATTATACGATCTCATTGATATGGCTATTATTCGACATTGGTTAGCCGATGCAGAACATAACCTTCTCAATGTAGATCAGCAGTTAGCGAACAAACAATGCTTACAGGAACCACCATGAAACATATTAGAGGAACTTGAATGATTCAAGGGAGGATACAAGCTGCAAAGAGCAGACACAGATCAAGGACTAACCACTCAGTGACGTGGGTGCATACGTATATATTGGCTTATTACAATTGTCATCCTAAGTTACAATTATATTATACTGAACAATTATTATAGTAAATAATTATGTTGAACGGGACAATTATTATAGTTAATAATTATGTTGAGCAAGCTATGGTTCTCACCGAGGATAGACACTGCAGGGTCCGGGGTCAGTGGGTCCGGGCACCAGAATGAAGCGGGACCGCGCCACCAGTTCAGGAAATTGGGCAATAGTCTCCCCCAGATTTGTGAGAGCTTGGCGCAGCTGCAGCACCTGTCAATCACGATCATATCTCAATTACGACATATTATTCAGTCCTGTAGCAAACGTCAGCATAGCATAAAACGTCAGCATAGCTATCTAAGGTTGAACTATCTCTTTACACTCACAATATTTGTTTCATTCATCCAAATAGGCTGGTAGATAACTAGATTATCTTTCTCAAATGATAACTCGTAGCAAGATGCATGAGCGCAAGAGTCACCTGATCAGCAGTGTGAGATTCTGAGAGGAAATTCCCACACAAAATAAATGCTGTGGGATGGAAATTACTGTAGCCCTGCAGGAGCTCTTGAAGTTTGGTCACCACCTGCGCACGAAGATATATTGACAGATCAGATCAAAAAACGATCGAGATAAGAAGAGATCATAAAACAGGGTTATTTAGTATTTCGTAATACCAATAATTGCTTGGGGTACAAAATTTGCGATAAGGAATTTTTCTCAATTCAACAGAAGGTTAAGTAGTTTGATACCTGTGCACATACTGACTTACACGGCACTTTTGAACAAGCAATTCAAAGAATGTCAAATTAAAATTAGTGATTGTATGATATCGAATTTTTTATTAAAATAGATCCAACATTACCCATGTTGGATTATCGTTATTATCCGTTTGGATTATCGTTATCATCGTTATGTATCATTATCGTTATTTGATTAGCATCAAATTCAAAGGATGGAACGTACAGCAATTTTATCGAGCCACACGTCAGATAAAATGACAAACATTGCTTCCTTCTTGCGCTGTGCAGCCACGAGTTTCTGGCTGTACTTGGCACAGGTCGTCCCCGCTCCCCCAAAATAATTCACGTTACCAAGAAGGGCTCTGGAAAAAAAAGAAACAATTTACATTGGTTTCAGGGCAAACAAATATCGGAATTTAAACAGCTTTCCTTGCTGGCTCTAATAGGTCAATGAGTAAAATTGAATGTGTTTATCAAAAAGTTTTAGAATGTCAAGCCTTTTAAGACTATCATTCCCAATTCATAGTGTACCGGTATTCAAAATTGAATACTGAGATTTAATTTTACATTTGTGTGTGGCATGAATTCTAGAATCACGCGCTGAGCTCATTCTACAGCATTTCAGACGCAGACCTGAATTATTTAAAGCACAACTTTTCGATAGCGTACAGTAGAAAGTATAAGATTATTAGTTCTTGTAGTTAAATAACTCTGAGGTTTCACGATGTATCAGAAATATACAATTCCACACAGAAAATCACAATAGAAATATGCTCTTCAGGGTGGAAGTGGATCAGCACAAATTTTTCTTGTCACCGTAACGCCTAAAATGACAAGATAATGACGCTGCAACATCAACCTAGGTATGAAAAATTATAACTCAGTACTCACTGCAGTGAGTGACAGAGCGCGCATTTTCTCGTCGACGAAAACTTGAGGTCATGGACAGACGGACGGACATGGCGAGCACAATAGTGCATTTTTTTCATAAATGAGAAAATGCGCTAAAAAGAGGTGGACATCATCGAAAAAAAAAAAACAATTGCGTTAGAGGTCGCCGACACGAGAAGACGGACACCAGCAACAGTGAGATAGTGATGATAAGTGCACGGAACCCAGCTTAAAAAACACACATGTAGAGATATAATGATTTCTGTAGTGAACTGTTGAAGAACAATGCCATGAAAAGCGTAAAAATTCGTTGACATTTGTCTAGCCCATGTCGACACCTGACGAGCCTATGTCAACGCCTGACGAGCCTATGTCAACGCCTGACGAGCCTATGTCAACGCCTGACGAGCCTATGTCAACGCCTGACGAAGAGTCAGAAGTCCTGCCAGAAGTGAAGTGACCAATTGATCACACAGTCGATTGAGTAGAATTATTTTTATAATTTTCTCACACTTTTTTAATCAATTAATATCAGAAGAACATGTATTCCAAGATTTTCTGTGCCAACTAGCCTCACTTAATAATTTCAATTTGATGAATTATACGATAATTCAATTAAAATGAAATTTTTACTCAACTCACCGTTACATTAATAAACATTTATGTGGGATACTGCTAAATTCAAACCCATTTAATATACTAGGAAACTCATTTTGAAGTTTGACATTTTCAGCAGAATATAGGTACTCCTTACAGAATATTTGCCCCATCAGAATATTCGCAGCTTGCAGAATATTGTTGCTCTCAGAATATTCACCCCCTTGCAGAATATTCACCCCTTGCAGGATATTCACTCCCTTGCAGAATATTCACCTCCTTGCAGAATATTCACCCCTTGCAGAATATTCACCCCTTGCAGAATATTCACCTCCTTGCAGATTATTCACCCCAATATTCACCCCCTTGCAGAATATTCACCCCCTTGCAGAATATTCACCTCCTTGCAGAATATTCACCTTCTTGCAGAATATTCACCCCCTTGCAGAATATTCACCCCCTTGCTGATGCAGGATATTCTCCCCATTGGAGAATATTCACCCTTGCAGGATATTGACTGCCAAGCATCTGACCTGGTGGTGTTGGGGAGCTCGGCAGGCGGCAGCCCCACAGCCTCAGCATTGAAGACGCCGTCAACAAAGCGTCCCTCCACCAGCACCAGGCAATGCTCGGGGAACAGCCCTGGCCACATTAGTAACTAATTATTGGAGTGGTAAAGCTGAATAATGCACACATCAATGCTTGTCTTTATTTGAACATTTTAAATATGAATTAATAGGTACACTTTTCATTATAATATTTTTGTGCCCTGGCCACATTATTTACTAATTATTGGAGGGGTAAAGCTGAATAACGCACACATCAATACATGTCTTTTATTTGCCTATTTTAAAGATTAATTAATACACTTTTCCTTCAAATAATACTCTATAAACCGCAAGGCTGTACCTCATTAATCCTCATATCACTGCCACTTACCGAACCAACCTCAGGTCATGTATAAATATTAAGCGAGGGTGTTACAAGAAAGGTGCCCAATGACATTAGAATCATGCAAGAAACTACATAAGTTAGACCAATGAAAGTGCAGGACATTTACACAGATAATGCCACTCACAAGAAAGATAACGATCCTTCTTAAAACACTTTGAATGAACTAGAACAAAAAGTATTTTCTAAGACATGCCAAGGCACTCTAATTTGACATACCAAAGGCTAGAATACAATAAAACTTAGAACTTGTAAATATATCATAAAACAGGGATGAACTTGGATAAAACATTTATTATGTTTGGCGTTCATTCATTTAATTTTCCCCTCACAAAGGCATAATTCATGCCCTCCTCCACACTCTCTACCTCCATTAGCTGTACAAATATCTTTTTGCTTTCTCAAAAAACGGCCATAGTTGTTGTCTTCAATAAACCTGCATTCTATGTACTCTTGCAATTTCACTATCATTCACACCTGTAATTTCATGAGGGTTTTACTTTCACCCCTCACACTATCAGAATCACCTCCATCATGACTTTTTGACTATTTTATACACATAACCAGCACAAATATGGTAAAGAAGTACAAAGCATGAAAGCAGCAGTTCTGGCCTTGAAGGGTGGAGTCAGGTCTTGTTGTGTATTTAGCTTTGGCACGGCCTTACAAAGTTGAGTTGTAATGATATGTGCTTAGCTCTGGTGCAGCCTTACATGGTAGAGTCAGTCTTCATATGTATTTATCTGCGTCATGGCTTACCAGTGTGAAATTGCATTGGCATGGCCTTACAGGTTTGAGTCAAGTCTTGATATGCATTTAGCCCTGGCACAGCTTACCAGTGTGAAATTTAGCATTGGCAAGGTTGAGAGGTACGGCTCCTGTGTCATCCTCAAGATGCATCTGCCCCTCCACCAAGTGCGTCAACAACCCCAGCACGATGACCTCCTCCTCGCTCTTCCCACCGCCACCAACAAGAAACTCAACATACACAGAGACTGCGAACGCGCGCTCCTCTCTCGACCACTGCATGGTCGCAACTGAACTGAGTGGACGAAAAACTTCATAGCCCGCGCACCATATTGCGCATGGCGCCACCTTCCTAGGACTAATGGCCGCCACGTGGCGCGCAATTCAAATAAGTAAGTTCCCGCGCCGCACCCTGTATTTTGTTATTATTTACAAAGTAAATAAATTATGAAACTTCATAAATAATTTCACAAGATTTCATAAGTAGGTACTTATCCAGTCACAAGGCAAGTATTAACTGTCAAAGAATTTGCTAGTCAATACATTAACTTGCTAGTCAATTAACAGCAAAAAACTTGCCAATCAATACATTACTCTCAATACCAACCTGCCTCAAATATCTACACTATCAATCTACTTCATTGTAATAGACCAACGATTTTTTGAGGAACTAAGAATACACATCTGTAAGGTCTTATTTAGTTTGGAATAAGAATATAGGATTTATCCAAAATTGTGTTAAATTCAAGCTAGCTGCAACTATTTAAGGTTATGTGTTTACGGTATTTCAATTGCAGGCTCATATCACGAAAAAGATATTTGTAAAGAATAGGCTAAGCAATACTTCAAATTCCAGAATGATATGAGAAATTGCTTTGCTTAAATGAGATTAAACTAAAATTATTAATTGCAATTACTTTTGTAAGGCCATAATGTTTGCTGCTAGCAGCTGATGTCCCTGCAGCAGGTGGGCGGAAGAGCTTGTGTTGTCGTGTGCGGCAGTAAACTGTGTTGTACCTGATATTATTTATTGAATATTAAATTTTAAAATATGTAATGATAAAGTAAGTGTACAAAATCTTCGTTGGGTGAAACAACACTTTAACAATACAATTACTTGCAAAAACCTTAAATACCAATTAAAGAAAGCTAGAATTTATTTTTTGATGTAAGATGTGTATCAATACTTATTTTTGGTTTATGTGTTAAAACTCAACTATATAAGAATATAGTATATATAGAGAATATAGAAAACTAAACTATATTTTATTTCAATACAAATGCCAATTTGTGAGTGATGTGAAATTAGGTACTTACTCCTGCAATAGTACTGGGCAATAAATGTTTACTTCCTTCATAAGTTATAAAGTTAATTTTTTCTAAATATTTTTAACGGCTATGAATTCTCAAAGTAACTACACTAGATAAGTAAAATTCACCTGTTCCTAAAGAGCTGAGCTTTGTGCAGTGCATTGCCATGCAGGAGATGAGGACGGTCAGGGACCAGCACAAACTTTGATCTCTCAACACTGTACTCAAGTGCAGGAATACCATCAGCAGCAATCACTTGCAGCAACTGCTCAGGTTCTTCACTTTCTGACTCAGCAACATCCTGCAATATTGAAAAAAAACTTCAGTGCTTTGGGAACAAATGTTGCAAAACTGCATTCATTTTGCAAAAATAAACACCATCAACAGAAAAAGCAACAATTATTTTGCAAAAATCAACACCCTCCGGCCTTCACACTTGAAAATTTGGTTCTATAAACCAAATTTTCATCTGCTACTTTATGCCAATTTCAAGCAAAACTTTGAAAAATACACATGAAAAATAAATAATTGTCCATATTATCTCAAAGTTGCTCCAGAAATTCAAATTTGTGCACATTTATATTCTATGCTTGCCCACAAAAGGGTTTAATATGAAAACTTTGACAGACAGAACAATAAAGCAAAAATTAGTAAATAATTATTAGAGTTATGGTGAAACAAATTTTCTTGCAAACCTTAGCAGCAATGACAATTTCTGCTTGAGATATCACAGCCGATGCAAGAGGCAGTTTCTGCACAGCAGAAATCACCTTCTCAATAATTTTTTCATGATCAGCAACATCAATTGGCTCCAGTAAACTGCTCAGGTACTTGGCGCCATCACTGCAACAAAGGAACATCATGAAACAGAGTAACAGACCATTGATATAGCCAGGTGATTTTCTAATATTTCAAGTAACCAGCTGCACTAACACCATCAAGTAAATATTTTATGCATCACTTATATCATATTGTATTCAGATCAGCCAATAATAGTAAAGCTAAATTATAAATAACTTTTTAACAATTAAAATTATATACAAAATCAAATTCATCACAGTTGCAGTGATCCCAAAGCCAAACCAGAAAATTGGGCAGTACAGTACCTAGATATTGGCCCACCCATAAATTTGACCAATTTCACCCACCTCACTTAGGCTCACTATGACCTTTTCCCAATTTCTTCAGAAAAAAAAGAAGAATGATCTATTTTTAACAATTTTTTAAAATAACCCAGAAAACAATCATTACAAAATTATAAGAATGATGGGAAAATTCTGAACACAGACGCTCAGAGCCTCAGTGCATTATTCCAGATTGGCAGCGCCAGCACACAAGGCCAGGCATGACCTTAATGACCAGAATTAGTCAAACTCAAAGGCTTCCTTTACATTTGATTCTCATTACTTTTGGCATTTTGCACGAACCATTCATCTGGTTCAAGTTAAAAAAATCCCCTGAAATAGGCTATCCATCTTAAAAAAAAAACAATTGCCCAGAAAACATTAAATCAAGACACTTTTCATTCATGGAAACTTGCATGTAATTTGTAAATGATGTGATGTAACAACATCAAATATCAATCAATGCTAAATTTATAGCTAAATGATAATTTATCAGAAGACAATACCTACCTCCGTAAAGTGAGTCCATGCATTCTAAATAAAGATGTTACTTGAGTCTTGGTAGAAGACATTTTAAAATGCAACTTGAAAACATGAGTTTTGAGCAATATTTTGTTTGGGTTGTGACCAACCAATTCCTTGTTTTTAAAATACAAACTTTACATGCAAACAATATTATAGTTTCAAGTGGTCAGTGGTGAAAAAGCATTATTTTTATACAATTTAATTTAAAAGTATCACAATCAACTATAAAGTCCAGTCAATCTAAAAAGATATTGTGTAATTGGCCCTTGGGAACCTATTCTTGTTTATGTTTCCATTTAAATTTTCTTACGTGGAAAATTAGAAAACTGCACAAAAAAACTTTTATGATATTCCGCGATCTCTTCTATTAACATAATGGAAAAGCTTATCTAAAGTTCAAACAGGTCCCCTGCCGCAAAACCACTTTGAGTTTTCCTAGTAGCCTAGTCCATTTTTAAACTTGAGCGCGACCCGCGGCGCCAACTTCCACATACCTACGTTATTATCGTTACCTAATGTCGCAGTGACAGTCGCACGCAGAATACGTTATGACTTCTTTTTATATAGCAGAATTAATTAAGAGCATCTATTATATGATTAGGGTTTACGATATAAATTTTAATTAGTAATTAGCTTTTTAAGCCTAGTGTTTAAAAATGATTTCAAACTATCCTCAGTCCTGAAAATATCCGGTCAAATGACACGATTTTAGATCTTCTGTGAATAAGTCACGAAAAGTACAAGAATCGGCGACAGGGTTGCCAGATGGAGCCAAGAGAAAAAGGCCAATTTGACTCACAAAAAAGGCCCCATTTGAAATTAATAGAAAATTTTTAAATTTAAGGTAGTTCTAACCATTTGCAGTGCATGCATTTACTCTCAAGGCTTTCAGACAGCAAAAAATACACCAATTTCATCACGTGTATGAGTTGAATTACCGTCAATGCTACATAAGCCGTCAGCCTGCAGCGAATTGCACGTTACTCGCCGACCGTAAAGAAAACCGTATAATACATGATATTGAGGATTTAATTGCCACCTAACAACCATAAAGCTTTTCGTTCGCGTTAGAGAGTTTGGGCTCAGTTTTGCTATTTTGCTAACAAAATAGATAGTAAAGTGGTAGGCGACATAAGTGATGTTGGCGGGGAGCGCAGCCGTTCACCACCTATTTTGTGCACCAATAAGCCCTGAATCGAACGCCTTGGATATCTCCGGACATCTACCAATCAGCCGTGAACCACTCGGCTTTGTCTTCCTCCGGCCTCGCATAGAACCTGCCGTGCACCACCAGGCCGCGGATCGAATCTGACTTCCGGGCATCGTTAAATTACGTAATTTTACGTTCACCGCATCTGAGGTTAGGTTTGAGATAGAATAGTTCTGTTCCAAAATTTATCGTCTTTCGACAAGTGGCCGTTCGACCGAGGGCTGGTTCGACCTAGCTACGGCCTAGATACGGACGGCTTCAAGTGATGAAGGCGACGTTGCGAAAGGCAGGAATCATGATGGTCCATTACATCCAGGGCAGTAGTGGTCTTCTGCAGGCGACCCATGTGGCGAAGTTTTTGACATGTTGGCATTGACGGTAGAATATTTATACTCGGAAGATGAAAAAAATTAAACTTATTTCTGCGGTATAGAGATGATGTGGTCCTTGCAAGACTAATCTAAATATTAAAAGTCAATCCTATGAATTTATCACAACTTTTGAATGCGCAGGAAAATAATACATTGCCTATCATTACTTGCAAAGGAAATAAAATTTATTTTTTTTTTTCAAAGTGATATCTTGAAGTGACTCACACCAGAAGGCTGAATATATCGAGAAGCTGTGCTGTAACCTCAAAAAATAGTGCTAAATATACTGCTCTTTAGAATTGAAAACTATACTCGATTAATTATACGCTCTGTCAGCTCTGCCGTCCATGGTTCTTAATTAATACGAGTCGGCAATTGGATATAGTCCCATGGTTCAACCAGTGTTGCCCAGATTAGGCGGCACTCGCTAGTGTTGCCACCTAAACCGAAGTGTTGACACAGTTTCGTGTCAAAATTTGAGTGTACTCGTCTTGGGCAAAACTGAATTTGGGTGCACTCGTCTTGGATAAAATTGAAGGATCAAATTATCATAAAAAACGAGAGTTACATTTTTCATAAAAAAGGCCCAAAATGGACAAAAAGGCCAAATTGAATTTTTCAGGCCAATGCATTTCAAAAAATGCCACATTTGCGAAATTTGGCCTGAAAAAGGCCCATCTGGCAACACTGAATTCGGCGACAGGCCACAACAGCACAACAGCTGGCCTACTCTTCAGCGCCGACATCACTATGTTATAACAATCAGTTACAAAAATGATAACGTCAATTCATATCTTTATAGAAAACGTTTCGGAGACCAGCTCCATCGTCAGTTCGTAGAATCTAGAATCACAAATCAGAAGTCACAAATTAATACATTGAAAGCACAGAACAAGGCATGGGACTTCCGCTTGGCCCGACATTCGCAAATATTTTTATGTGCTTTCACGAGGTTTCTTGGCTGGCCAATTGTCCTCTTGATTTTAAGCCGATATTTTATAACAGATACGTCGATGACACTTTTTTAATCTTCAAACATCCTTCTCATGTCAAACCATTCTTTGATTACGTAAACTCGCAACATAATTCTATCAAATTTACTATGGAGCTTGAATCTAACAATAGTTTGTCCTTGCTCGATTGCAATATTACCAAATCTAATGGCCGTTTTCTGACTTCTGTGTACCGAAAACCGACTTTCACCGGCCTAAGTACCAGTTTCTTTAGTTTTTGTTAGTTCAGATTCAAGTTAAATGGGCTTCAAACATTATTACACAGAGGTTTTCGCATTTGTTCCACATACCATGCTATGCACGCTGAATTTTACGCAATAATATTTTCTCGCTTAATGGATTTCCGGCAAGTTTTGTGTTTACCCAAATCAAGAAATTCATGTCGAAGCGATACAGTGAGGTTGCTCATGAGCGCGATAGTAGGAAAGTTATTTATTGTTCTTTTCCATACTTCGGCCCTGCGTCCGAAGCTATGTCAAGAGAATTAAAAGTCTTGTTCAATAGATACTTCCCAAATGTCAATCTTCATATTGTGCTGGTAAACAATTTCACAATCGGTTCTTTCTTTAGATATAAAGATATGCTCCCTGTTCATATGCGATCGTCCCTGGTTTATCAATATTGTTGTGCACGATGTGCATCTGCGTACGTCGAAATGAACGATGTGCATCTGCGTACGTCACGTAATCTTTATTCCAGGGTCTCTGAGCATAAGGGCAGGAGCTGTAGAACCGGACAGTTGCTATCGCGCCCACCTCATTCGGCTGTGCGCGCTCACGTCGAGCAGTGTGATGTCCCTGTTTCTGACAGTGACTTTAGAGTGTTAGCTTCCACCTCCGGGACTTCCGATTTGCGCATTTTAGAATCGCTGTATATCTTTAAACTTAGGCCCAGTTTGAATTCAGCTGCTAGCTCCTATCCCCTTGAAATTGTTAATAGATAGTTTTTTTGCTCCGTCTATTACTTGTAAATTTAGGTTTTAAATTTTGTTCTGTTCTTTCAATGTACCTATTAATTTGTGACTTCTGATTTGTGATTCTAGATTCTACGAACTGACGATGGAGCTGGTCTCCGAAACGTGTTCTATAAAGATATGAATTTTTGTGGACTTTTCTTTGCTTTTAAATTCTTAGTTAATTTGCGATTTAAGCAAACAAGTGATATAAATTCAATGATAACATCAAGTGTTGCAATCGGCTTTATTTGGGATAATTGCATACATTGTTTTTCTTTAAACCTTGTTTAGGTACCAATTAATGTGCCAGAGATGTGGTCTCTAAACAAGTATTAGAATAGAATAGAACTGTCGGCATTGATGAAATAGGCTCATGTGTGGGGGTTTTATTTACCACTCCACGTTAAGTTATTAACTCCAATCAGGAAATCTGAACGGCCTAGGTAGCTAACTTGAATTATTCACGGAGGATAGACAGAAACATAGAGATCGGCAGGACGAATTTGGTTGATTAAGCAAACATACAATTAATTGATAATTTCATTTATTGGCTTAGCTCACGTGACCTGCTCGATGATGGTGATCCCGATGGAATCGGAGGAACGGGTTGGTGATGAAGATGATGTGCTCGGCTTGGTGATGTGCTCGTGGTTGCGTCGTGAATTCAGACACCGTGGTGAAGTTATCCGAGCACGATATTGAGAGTTGCAGTGACACTAAACTGAATGTTACAGAGACACGAGATTGATCACTAAATTGAATGTTCCAGAGATACGAGATTGATAACTGAATTTAATCTTCTAGAGATACGAGATTGATCACTGAATAAAAGTTAATTGAGTAGTTCACACTTCACAGCAATGTTCACTGAATGTTCACGGATGAGCGTCGGTAGACAGGGACGGCGTTGGGGCACGGCAAGATGGCGGCATGCGAGTTGGCGGGAAAACTAGCTTGGGACGCCGACAGAGATGCTGGCAGAGACAGTCAGAGTTGCTGGCAGAGACAGTCAGAATTGCTGGCAGAGACAGTCAGAATTGCTGACAGAGATGCTGGCAGAGACAGTCAGAGTTGCTGGCAGAGTCCGAGTCAGGAAATTGCGCGTGATCTTGAACTTATACGTTGCAGGAAACAGGCTGTAGGTTGCCGGATGCAGGTTGCCGAAGTTTTGAAACTGCGAAATAAGGCCTTTGTTAATACGCTATTCACATTTCACGACACCATTACACAAATAAGCTAAAGCCACGTGAGCTATGTTTATAATATGATAAATACGTTAATTTGATACGTTAGTTAAATTAAATTATTGAACTTGCAATGACTCCGACTTCTGAACTAACTTTACTCTTACGCTTAGCACATTGAATGAGAGTTATTCTACGGCAGAGTAGTTTCTAAGTTAGGGAGCTTACGTGAGAAAGATGTTGACCGCTCGAAGTCATAAGGCAAACAGGCCGTTAAGATTTTGAGGGGCTATGAAAGAACCAGTGAAAAAGAGCTTTGGATGTTGCCATCGACTGAGCTGCTTTCTCCGAAACTCTCGTGATGATGTTATAATTATTTAATATGACTTAAAATGTACGACTTTAATGTATATTGTAATATTGATGTTAGTATGAGAAACATAAAAATTAGTTATAGAATAGAATAGTATAGAATAGAAGTGTCGGCGTTGAAGAAATAGGCCCATGGCCTGTTGCCGATTCTTGAACTTTTCTTGACTTGATTCACAAGGGATCCGGCCTTTGGAACCCGATCTTTCCATAGCTGACGATTGATTGAGATAGCTGCTGGACTTACTGCCTGGTCCGTAATTTGCTAGGCATTTTAAGACTGAACATATATGCTCCTGCATAGCTTCGTCTAGTCTGTTTTTGAAGATGTTCATACTCGGAGCGTCAACGATGCTATCAGGGAGGCTGTTCCACATGTCGGTGACTCGAAGCGAGAAGAAATTTTGTCGCATGGATGTGTTCCAACGCTGTTTTTTTAGTTTATAGCCGTGGCCCCTGGTGTTGGTTCTTGTTTCAAATTCTAGTAATCCTTCTGGGACCTTGTATAAGTCATGAGTATACTTGTATACTTCAATGAGGTCCCCCACGCAGACGTCGATAACTGAGGCTTGGAAGCTTCATAATCTTCAATCTTTCCTCATAGGGTTGTTTATAGTATGTTAGTGTGAGAAACATAAAAATTAGAGATATGTTATGCATAATATTACTTCTATGTAGCGAGATCCGCTACACATGGCCTGTTGCCATGGGCCACATCATTGTTGCCATCAATAAATATTGACACATCAAAATGTCTAACATAATTTCGACTCAACAAACTTCAAAATACAACAAATGTAATCCCGCAGCTAGCAAGAAACTGCAAGAGGTAAAAATGCAGGGGTGAATCGTGCTCGCCAAGCTTGTGCGTTTCCACGTTAGCCGCGTTGCTACGCCGCCATGTTTGTTGCACACCCGCGCCTTAGCTTACTCTTTCGTTTCTACACGTTTGTATTTTTTGGTGGCAATAGAGAAAGAAAGAGCAAATCAGAAAGGATTAAGCTATTGTCAACAACTTTTTCCTTCAACGAGAGACCAGTATTTAAGTAAATTGATTGACAATAACGATGTTGATCCCTACGCAGTGCAGGCAAATCAGTGGTGTGCAGATTTTGCAAGTCTGCCTTCCGTTTCACACCGTTATTTACTAAACTATCTGGCGTCAGCCAACACACCATGCAAGAATTCAAGGCATTCAAGACGTCAACTGCAACAACACTGTCATTGCTGCCAAGGTGAAGGTGAGGGGAATGGATCATGACAATGTAATCTGATTCTTCACATTCTTGCTTATGTAACTTATTTATTGGTAAGAAACAGATTTTGCCCATAGAAAATATATAGTATCGTGTATCATGAATATTCACGGCTGGTAAACTGATATACGATACGGAAAACGATACTATATAAACGGCATTCACGGCTGTTAAACTGAAGAAACGTATTCCATTGTCAAGTTTTCTGTTAAATTAGTCGTGAGAATTACTAATGCATGGAACAACGGCGCAGTAGCGTCCCATCTTGCAGCAAAAACTTCAAAAAGAGACATGCGCAGTAGATAGAAAATGTAGGCAAAAGCTAGCCGGCGCAATAAATATGGCGGCCGATCCCACAATGCATCTCACGATTCGGCGCCGTGACGTTATCCTTTTGAGGCCGATAGCTTGATAGATAGAATAGCGGTGCCAGCGTTTATTAGGCCGTAGGCCTGTCGCCGATTCTTAACATCGCAGAATATTCGTAGCTTCTTGCGGTCTTGAACTCACAACTATATGCTCCAATGTTTGCTTTGCTTAACCGCTTGGCCTCCTCATCAATCCTGATCAGAAACTGACGCTCAGAGCTGGGATCGAACCCGCACCTCTCTGCTCCAATCTTGATACTCTGAACTGCAACCACTGGGTAGTTATCGGAGGTCATCTGTCGGTTGTGTGTTATTCTTGAGTGTCGAGGTTAGAATAAATTTACCATTATGAATCATTTATTCATTGAAAGATAAACATGACAGCCAACTAGCTAGAATTTAAAATGATCTAAATAACTAAGTACATGATCGTCGGGATAGGTAATGGGCTTCAACAAGAGAACTCTGGGAATATCTCTACAAAGAAAGAAATTATCCTGATGAGGTCCGATAAGGTGCCTGTACATGGGGACAGTACTGGCCGCCAGTTGGTCTGCCGCTTGAACTGTCCACGTTACTGGCCTCGTGTATAGGGGTGCGCAGCCGCTTCAGTGGAATGTGCCCGAGACGCAGCCGAGAGAAATAACGATGTGTTGTTTTATTCGCCGACAATTGCGGCCAGTAGCGCTGATTCAGCCATGGTGAGAGCATTTGTGCCGCTCTTTTGAAGCATCTTGGGTCAAGTGAATCATGGCTTGTTTGAACGATAATGGTTCTAAGAAGAACCCAACAAAGTGCAGTCCAGACGATATTCAATATTGTTCTTTGAGATATGCAAAAAATATGAACTAATGTGGAATGTTCGCCATGCTGGTTGCTACACAAAATGAAGAGAGAAACGAGTATTTTGAAACTGGAAGAAGACCTTATTAGTCAGGGTTTAGTTGTTCCCGACGTTGCATTTTAAGGGCTATAATAAAGAGTATAAAAACAACGTGTAGACTTGAGTTAGGTGATCCCACTTTCCATTTTCGCATACTTCACTCGATGGCTTCTAACGACGCACTGGCGCTGGCGGGCACGAACGAAAAGATATCCGCACCTTATACTGTCCTCGTGTCTAATTAGCTTACTTGCCGGATAGTCACCAAGCGGCCGACATTTACCAGATCTACTTGCCGCCAGCACTGTCCCCGTGTACAATCAAGCACCTTTAGCAACGCTGAATTTGTATCTTTACACCAATCTCAATCATATTGTAGCAAAACAATAATACAGAAAATCAACACATTCAGGACATATTACAACAGAACAATATCTTAACCATACCTCGGCAGATGCCGATTTCCGTTACACAAAACCTTGCAGTCAAGCCAAGAGCTAAGCAGCAGAAAGATTAATGCTGATAGGGATTATCAACTACATTACCTATACTGGAGTAGCAACACTCGACAAGATGTAGTAAGCTCTTTTTTTTGTCTCATTTAAAAAACCGCGCATATTCTTACAAATATTCCGACCATTCAGTATCTGTAGATCAATGACCGCGGTGCGAGAGGCGATTTGATACTAGGTGAGCATACGAGTGTGTATAGTCTAGGATTGGGCATGTGATGGTGCTGTTGGTGCCCGTTGCATCTTTTTTGCTGAAATTACAGTTTTTTATGGCAAAAAATTCAGCATGCACAAGATTTCAGCTACATTCATGTGTGTTGATTTGATGCGAGGGAAGACGACACGGTGAGTATATAATCAGGGTGGCTGCCAGGATTCTGGGACTTGTAGTCGAGGATTATTTTTCTTGACCGTGGTGCTGAAAGGATGTGTGAATGATTTGTGTAAAGAGCATAACGACGGATCTACCCGAATTTCGGTAGAGGGCAACGAAGAAATGCCCGATAGGAGTCTCGTAGGACCCGACAAACAGCTCACGCTCGTCATGACCCTTTTAGACGAATCGCTCTAGGAAACTTCCACCTCAAGATGCATTCGGTCTACGTCACCGGCACAATATCCACTTTCAGACTGTTTCTACTATTAATCGATAGTTAAAAAAAAAGTTTATCGTAGGATATTATCCATGCACTTGTTTAGGCTAAGTATATTTTCTTGACCTTATTGGCTTTCGGGGACCCTGGATTCTTTCTAGTATGGTGGATTATAGCTTTGTATATGTCATCCTCGATTCGAAAGATTTTTTATTATATGCAGAGGGAATATTTTTATGAGCTTGAAAAAAATGTTATACTTTGACATAAGATAGAGGGTTAAAGAAAGCAGGCAAAAAGATGGCAAGATCTTGAAAGATCGGGAAAAATCTCCCCGATCTTTTAATTAAGAAGTTAGGCACTGGCCGTATAGGTTGCGGCAACTGACCATGGTCTCATCCATGGTCCATGATTTTAAGGTCCATAAACGAACAATGGTTTTTGGTTGTAACAAAGCGCCTCCATGGGCAACGGTTTTGTCGATGCGCTTTGTTACAACATGTTCAGATTTGAAATGCCTATGCTCCTTATCGAACCCGGTGGAAATCTAGTAGCTTCTTCAAACTATCGCCAGTCATGAAAAGATCCGGTCAAATGACACGAGTTTATATCTATGAACAAGGCACGAAATGGAAAAGAATCGGCGACAGGCCACATCAGGCCTACACTTCAGAGCCGACATCACTATGTTATGTTATGTTATGACGACTAGCAGGCGTGTAACACACGTAAGTGTAGTTACTAGCGGTAACAGACCTAGTTTACTAGCGGTAAAAAGAGTCACAGATTTTTAAAATCAACAATTTTATTAAATATTTTAAAATATTGGAATCGTAAGTTTATTATAATAATGTAATGGAAACGGAGCTTGGAATAAAGCGAGATACTCGATCAAGCATTTTCAAACAGTGCATCAAGCAATTCTGAAAATACCAACAATGTCAGTTCAATATCCACCGAACTTACCAGCAAGATTCTATTGTACCTCAAGAACTTCTCGACACCTGTGACTGCATGAATTCAAATTTGGACGACTTTTGTCCTGGATGAATCACAATGGAAAATTTCTTTACTTTAACTTAGTGCATTTCTTATATTATCATATGAGTCACGGAATTTAAAATTATGATTAATGTAAGTGCATTTTTCATTAGATGAAATACGAATTTTAAAAAGCTTGCAGAAATAGGACTAAATTAAAAAACGCAATTTATAATTCAATAGACTAAAGGCCCAAAAATATTAAAAATTATGAACTTATTTGATAATAATAAATTATTCTACCAAATCATTGACTACATGATTCATTTCTAGCGTGAAATATAGCAGAAAACTAGTCAAACATGCAACTATTTATAAGTACATTAATCATTATGATGCTTTAATCTATTCAAATTGGCCTTGTTGTCGAAATTAAATAATTTTTCTAAGTTTGTACGCGTCCGTTATTGCAGAGCTTTGTTTTCTTGAAATTACGTTTTGCACGGACAACAAATCAGCGTGGCAGACACGATTTAGAGAAATGATAAAATATCTGGTAGTTAAATCTTGTCCTGCATCGTCCGTTTCAACTAAACTAGATTTGGACACGCGTTCACAGTTCGTTGCTGGCAGTTCCACCATAGAGCGGGTTCTGCATTTTCGCAACGGGATCTTTGTAGAGCTCATTGGTCTGTTGAATAGATAATAATAATAATTAATTGTAATATACACACGCACATAAAACTATAGAATAATCATTACGCAGAATATTTTAGTAGTATTTTACGCGTAATGATAAAAATTTCAGCACAGAGCTGCTTAATATTATGTCGAAGTTGAAGGCAATCATGCAACTTCAAACCATTCAACGGCAGAACTGGAATTAATTCACTTTCCGTTTATCTCTAAGATGATCATATTGTTTGTTCAGTCATGTGAGGTTATGTGCGCAAAACTCAACAAAACTTATAGAATGTATTGAATGATTAAAAATTTAAATTTGTTTCATGCACACATTTAAAAACTTCAAACACGAGGTACGGTGCATTTGTGATATAAACTTGGCGCCTTCATCATATGGTTTGAAACATTGAATTTCATTAACTTGATAAGTATGAAGCAGCTGGCTTTAGAGAATTAACGACAATAAAAGATGTTTAGGTGTTATTGCACAAGATTGTCTATTACGATTTAAACCAATATGAAATTTTAACGTTGTATTCAATAACTATAAATTGCAGACTTCACTGGGATTATTGATGTAGCCTCTTCTGCAGAAGAGGTTACATCAATGTCCATCATTGGGTTATTGCCAAATGCCCATCATTGGCAATAAAGACATTAGAATATTATACATGTATTTTCGGTAATATTCAGTCAATTGGTTGAAATTTCACCTGTTCTCTCCATTTTTCCGGAGTTTGCAAATGCTTCGAGAATTCTTCGACTTCTTTAACATTTGCCCGCCATCTCTTGCAGTAAATGATCGTCGGAGCGAGCAGGATGAGCAGCAAGAGCCCGGCCAATGCGCCAACGACGATGTATACTGAAAAAAATATAACTTAGTACTCACTGCAGTGAGTGACAGAGAGCGCATTTTCTCGTTGACGAAAACGTGAAGTCACGGACGGACAGACGGACGGACATGGCGAGCACAATAGAGCATTTTTTCCATAAATGAGAAAATGCGCTAAAAAGTTAAGTGATTCGGAAATTCTGAGATGAAAAATGTCCGAGACCCGTTGAATGGAATGCTAGAACGTGAAAATACTACGATTATATTCATTTGAAAACTGCCATGCACAAAATGAATGCGAGTTACCTCAACGACATCTGTTTTTTAATATATAATTTTTCAATGGTCAAAATTAAATCTAACGAAACGGTTTTTTGCAAATGCCATTTGGTAAAATTATGTAATATTATTTAAGATTTCCTTATATTAAAAGCTTCCCTCTGCAAAAATTTCTACCAAGCCCGCATAAATATTGCGAACGTAATCGATATCAGATTATGTAGGTTGTAGTAAATAACAGTTTAAACTCACTGATTTTGTTATCGTCAGTGCACGCGGCGTCTTCATCAATGTAGTAGACCTCGTAGGCTGTTTCGTTTAAAAGGACATACCAGAACTCTTTCTCACATTTCCCAGTGTCATCTGTTGCTTTACACGAGCTCTTGTCTTTCAGTTCATTGATGTACTCGCCTACGGGAGCAAGCATTGCATTAGCGATAAGAAAATTCAACAGCTGTTATAAGATCTTTTAGAATGGTTTGCGAAATGTGAGAAAAATATTTCAATACTGATACAAGTAAATTTTTATTCCAATAGGTGAGAAAAGAGAAGTAAATGACATTTTTCTGTGACCACGTTTCAGGTATTTGATGATAACAAACGAGTTTCACGACGTTTCGGTTAATATTTATAGATAAAGAAAAATAATTTTGATGCAGTAACATCATTACCAACGATGTTACTGCATCAACGTTAACAAATTTATGAAGGCACAATCAACGATAAGGAAGCTAGAACGAAGGTAATGAGTAGTAGCAAAGGTATGGTTGACATTTATAGCATAAAATTATACAATCAAAAACTCGCATTGATGGGATGGAAATCATTGAGGGGAGTACCCTAACCAAATTTATAGGCATGCACGAGCCTGCATTAGGGCTGCCTAGCACTCGGGGAGCATGTAAATCAGCTTCTCTATGTCCGCTTCGGCTCAGGGTTCGAAGGGCAGTCTAGGCAGCTTGCTGGCTCGGTATGGCTCGGCTCGACCAACCCTTTTCATACTCTTAGTCGACTAAAGTCAGAAAGGAGATTCTGACCAGAAACTGATATCTATTGGGTGGCCAAGCAGACCCAGAATAACTTTGCGCCGAGTGTAGTGACTTTTTGGCCGAAGCCTGGACGGCTCCCGAATTTTGTTAGGCTAGTTTGACAAGTCTGATTGTTAGATACACAGCACACGCGATATATTTAATAACATATAACATTACATTATTAACCGATTTATTTGAACAATTAAATGAAATATTTTTCACTCACGTGTGACTATGGTGTAATTAGTGACCAGATGGCATTTTCTCGACTTGCAATATTGCTCTTTGTTTGTTTCTTTCACTTTAAAATTCTTGTATTTGTTGAACCACTCGCATTGCAAGCACGGCATCAGACTGTATTCTCCGGTGCAGAAGTCTCCACAGTCCTGAAAATTTTTTGCAATATGTCATTTCCATTTTAAATGATTTGAAACAAATTTACAGATTAAATGCAAACACAACACAGTTTTTGCCATTATATATTATTCATAATGCCTAAATGTATCGCTTGTAGAACATTGAAGCCTCCATATATATGCTCTTAAAAAACAAATCTATAGAGGTCACTTCTAATATCGAAGATTAATCAGCTAGCTCAAATAACATAAGATATTACATTTCTTTCTTTATGCCTCAAGTTATCAAAAATGTAAATCAAGTCCCGTAACATTACAATAGGAACATTTTGCCTCAGAGCTTAAAAAATATCTGGTATATGGTTTGAACGATTTTGCCGAGTGAATTCGGAATTAATTATGCGGTGATTGGTTATGAGAAATGATTGCTAACCTTGCAGTACTGGCAAGTGTCGCCAAAGAACCAAAAGTTGTCATCTTTTCTGTCGCACACGCACGTGTTGCACTCACAACGGCCTCTGCCAGAGCACATGTCTCCTGATCCACCTGAAAAAATTTGAGCAAAGCTCATTTATTTGGTTTAAAAAGAAATGTATCAAAAGGAAATGAAAGGTTATCAACTAATTTTATACATCATCTAAAATTTGACAAAATTTGATATTTTTTAGCAAAAAAATCCAAATAATATCACATTATGGCCGACGTATTATGGACGAATTAAGATGCATTGCATTCCTGAGAAGTTGCAAAAAAATAAGAAACCTGATGCGAACAAATAAACGTGGTGCCGACAAATTGAATCCAAAATAAAATCTGTTGTAATACATAGATGTTGTAATACATTTTCTGATTCAGTATACATATATAACATGACATAACATAGTGAGCGCTAAAGAGTAGGCCTGATGTGGCCTGTCGCCGATTCTTACTTTTCGTGACTTGTTCACAGAAGATCTAAAATCGTGTCATTTGACCGTATCTTTTCAAGACTGACGACAGTTTGAAATAGCTATACTAGGCTTCCACCGGGTTCGATATGGTGCTATAGGCATTTCAAGTTTGAACATATATTTTTCCATAGTTTTATCTAGTCTGTTCTTGAACGCGTTCATACTCGGAGCGCCAACGATGTAATCAAGGAGGCTGTTCCACATTCGAAGCGAGAAGAAATGTTGTGTGGACAAGTTGCAGCGCAGTATATAAATAGGATTATATATATATATACTATTCAATGATATATATAATGATATATATCTAACTCTCACCGAGAACATCTAAAATAGGATGTTACAAAAGAATTTCAGAAGGTTCGGAAAAAATTTCTGTCGAGTTAACATTCGATAACACTAAATTATTTTTGGCTTTGCAACATTACAAACAATTAGCATTAATAAATTTTCCTAGCTAAATCAGGTATTGTAACGAATAAACTAGATCTCAAAGTAATGGTTCTACTAATTGTCAAGTCAAGTAGCTTTTGACAATGCCTTGCCCGTTGAAAAGTCGCCGTATATAGTAGCCTGGATGAGTTGCAAGACTAATCGCATTGAACAAATGCATTGCTGACAATTCAATAAAATAATAAATTCAATGATTTAATGCCAATAAGACACACGTCTATCCATAGATTTTGTAGACCGTCATTATTTCCGGCAGTTGGAACCTTGCTTGGCGCCGATAATTCCTTTTTATTGCCTTAAGGTCGATTTTACTTGTTACATTCTAGGTTGTTTTCAAGTGATGCATGTCATTTATCCGAGTTTTTTCTTGCAATTACCATGATCAAATTAAGAGGGGTGCGCGACCCTACATTAGGGCCGCCTAGGACTCTGGGAGCACTTAAATCAGTTTCTCTATGTCTGCTTCAGCTCAAGGTTCGAAGGGTAGCATTTGGGCAGCTAGCGAGCTCGGCATGACTAGGCTCGGCCAACTCTTTTCATACTCTCCAGCGGCTAAAAAGTCGGATAGGAGATTCTGACCAGAAACTGAGTTCAATCGGGTGGCCAAGAAAACCCAGAATTACTTTGCCCCGAGTGTAATGACTATTCAGCCGCAGCCTAGATCCGGTCCCAAAATATTGTTTCATAGGGTATGGGTTTCTCATCATATGCTACGTGTTTGCCGTGGGAGTTTGGTCAAATATCTCCATTAATGGTCTGTCTCATGCGAAATTTTCATATGAACTATATGTTTTTGAGTGATTTTCTCACTTGGATAACATCTTTCCGTGGCTGTAGGACAGTTGCAAAACTTCCCCGTGCGCGTCGGGTGGCATGTGCAGTTGCCGCACCGGCAGTCGCCATGATTGTAGCACAAATTGTCTTTCGTAGGGCCGCAAGAAAAATCGCTCTCCGAGCACAAAGTTTCGCTGCAGTACGAGTGCTGTCAGATAATTAAGAAATCAAAATGGTAATGCAACATTTCGAGTCCTTCAATTGGTATTTCACTTCTACTATCGGGAAAATTTAAGATGGGAAACTGAAAAGGAAAGTACTTATTTGTTTCTTTGTCCTCTTGCCATAAGTTACTATATGTGCGAAATTTGTAACAAATCTTCTAAATGAGACTTCTGAATAATTCTTACAATATATATTCAAAAACTAACAAATCCTGTCAACCATTCATTAGATTGAGAAACCCTTGATTACCCTGGATATTATTTAAATTGTTGAGAGATACTGAAACACCCAAATTACAGTTTGGTTTTATGATTTCTGAATCGAACTTTTGCATTAAAATTAACAAAAATTAACTCTTGAAATGAAACAGTGTTGTTCAATGAAAGTAACGATATTAGACGTTTTTCTTGATGAGCTATCATCATTACACAAATGACATGTACAATAAACAAAATTAGTATAATTTTTCAATTTTAACCCACATCATCGCAAACTTTCACGATTCCGTGCTCTCTTGTACTTTACCGTGCTTCCGCTCTCCTCAAACTGATCGCACAAGCACTTTCCGCAGACGCAGCTCCCCCTGCCGCTGCAGACCGCGCCGGAGCTGTCCGTTATGCACTTCTCGTTGCTCTGCTCCGAGTCCATGTTGCAGCTGCAGTTCGCGCCGAAGAAGCCCCCTTCGCAAGCACACGTTCCGCACTCCAGAGTACCACGACCGCTGCAGCGTGCAGAACTCACTTCTGGCTCCTGGTAGAGATTATAAGACGATTACAAACAAAATTTCTTACAAACTTGCTCTTTCGTGAACATTTATTATAACTTAGTCACGCAGAAGGCTAAAAATCTTTACGATATATAGCAAATATGATAAGTAAATCATGATGAATAGTTGAACTTATTTTAGTGTTGCTCATTATCACAATAACTCAATAATAATAATATATCTACACCAATGTACATAGGCATTTTAATTTATTTGTTCTCTTCTTTATTTTGGCCAGCTCGTCCACCGGATTATTTTGGTGCTGGGTTTCTGCGCCGTGCCAGGCTACCCTGTAACGCCGGGCTACTTTGTTGTGCCCAGGGAAATTTGTCGCTTCGGTTTATATTTCCACAATGTATTATCCTGTTAATAAGTTTACTCTTATGCGCTGGCTTGCTTTCCTATGCCGGGTTAACAGACCATTTTGACCAGTCACGCTTGGTTAACCTACCGTGTTGACTCGCTGACTTGCGTTACACAACCTCTCGAGCAGAGCCGAGTTTGCAATCAATTTTTTAGAACGTTCGAAAATATAATTGTACAATTACCAAGAAAACCTGGCTTGTGATGTCATATAAACGACAATTAAGAGGCTAGTCTCAAAGTTCTATCCCATTCAGCGTACGGAAGAAAATATCTTCCCTGAGCGTCCCCATTCTTCATCATAAAATATGCGGCAGATAAATTAGTTACCTCACACTGGCATGTACACAGGAAATTCACGGCGATGGTGGCGTTGATTTTGGCATTATCCCTGGGGTGGATGGTGAACATTGTCTTCTTGGGTTTATCGGAAGGCGGACATCTCTTCAACTGTAATTAATAAAATTAAATTGACGGATTGAACTTTTTCGACGGATTGAAAATTGAACTTTTCATTCTTCAAAGTTACTTCGTAAGGTTCCACAAACCGCTGGCATGAAGTTGCACGTCGCAACAAAAGGCAATCGTAACCAAAAAGAGAGCTTAATTGAGTTACAAGCAGCACAAGATTGTTCTAAATAAAAGCTTTTGAGATTTTATAGTTGAATAAATATCATGTCTAATGATTGTTTACAGTCGTAACGGTATCGCTCACCTTGATGCTGACAGTAATTACTCCAGAATTGCCAAGCACCAATCCAGCGCAGGTAGACCCGTTGCCTTTAGGGCACCTGGCGGTCAGAGTTACCTCCATGTCTTCCTCCGGGTACCCAGTCGCTACCATGTCGTAAGTAGTCGTGATTTTCTAAAAAATTGAATATTGTTAGCTGGTTTGATTTTATTGAAATGAGTGTTACGTTATCGTTAATAAATTACTTATAGAAGGAAATACGTATCGTGTAATATATTATTTATCCTGTAACGAATAGATTGAAAATATCTAAGTCGTTGATATTAGCTTTTACTTAATTTTTAATTATTTTTAAGACATTTCGTTCTCCCTCATTCAATGTCAAGTAGAATGATTTTTATTTTTAGTGGTGCAAAGAAGTTAACATTATTTTTCTCAAAATTTAAACGATTACCGATGTTTGGCTGATGATGAGATCCACTATGTTGGATGAATCCTCCTCAATGAGAACGGTGCTCGATAGCTCCACTTGCTTGCTCAGTGCATCGTACAGAGCTTTTGCCCTCTCAATTACAGCAAAAACCACGTGTACTTCGCTCGAGTTCGCGGCTCTCGAAATCTGGGTTGTGAGAAATTATTCGTACAATCACTCCAAAATCAAGCCGTAAAATTATTTAGTCTAGTCATATCTATTCATAAAATAAAATATGTACGCGTACTTTGGTCTGATTTAATGATTATTTTAGAGTAAGGAAAACCAAATGACACAATTTTTGATTAATCAGAGCTTGTTCATAATAATGATCGGGGACATTATCCAAAAGGAATTGTTACTTTAGCCTGCCTCCATCACATACAGTATATACAGTACAACCGAATAATGTAGTGAAATAGTCGAAAACGTGTGAAACACTCAACATTTACTTGATTACTAAATGGAATTGATTTTGAAGACCTGGGTATCCTTTTTACTTATTTAAATTCGCTAAACATCTTATCTGTTGGACCAATAAAGAAAAAAATCAACAAAACGTCGCAATTGTAGTTTTAGTTCATAAGTAGCGACATCATCAAATTTGTCTAGACCGTGCCAACACTTTTTAATTAACTCGGGATGAGTTTTGAGACGCATTGCGAATGACTAGGCGAAATGTTCTCCTTCAATTCAGAACCATCCCGATGAAATAATAGCTAACACTTCTCAGATCGTTCGAAGAAAATATGAATTACATATAATAACGATAGAAACAGATAAGAAAAAAACAAAAACAGATCGAATAGAAACATAGCAACGCGCCTTGGCAAGCGTAGTCAAAACTTTTATACTTTTATTAAATTACTATACCTAAATTTATTTTGAAAAGCCACTTTGTAAATTTTCTCAAGGGTAATTTTCATAAACTCAAAGTGCATCGCACAAAAACAAGCTGAATCTTGTATCTGATAATCACCTGATAAACGCTGGGGTAGTCCAATGTGAGCGCCTCCGTGTAGACTTTCCCTTCTCGGTCCATGTGACAAGCTCCGTCGTGAGGTGCCGCGATTCCGGCCAACTGAAGAAAAAGTTAATGCAATGTAATATTGATATTTTGAAAGCACCAAAACGAAATTTTGTCGTATATATAGATTTCAACTTGTACAAAACTTTGTCTCACTGCGAAATTTAAAACGTTTTCATTTACGGTCTAATCATGTACATTGTTCTTCTTTCCGCGCAACTTCATAAATCGTTCGGTAAAATTTAATTTAAAACTTTCTTCACTGTTTTGATTTTATCCCGCATTTGTGTATTTTTAACATGAATGTTTCCACGAATTATTAAGGGGGGGGGGTAGACCCTCCAGAAAAACTTCCACATTTACTAACGGATCTTTCTTAAACTTCACACATATATGTAAAACCAAAATAAAGGAACATTTTGTTCGTATGATTTTTTCGGAAAATTCTAAATCGTGTCATCAGATCTAAAATCGTGTCATTTGACCGGATCTTTTCATGACTGACGATAGTTTGAAGTAGCTACTAGACTTCCACCGGGTTCGTTATGGTGCTAGGCATTTCAAATCTGAACATACATTTTTCCATAGCTTTATCTAGTCTGTTCTTGAACGCGTTCATACTTGGAGCGCCAACGATGTCATCGGGGAGGCTGTTCCACATGTCGGTGATTCGAGGCGAGAAGAAATTTTGTCGCGTGGAGAAGTTGCAGCGCAGTTTTTAGCGCATTTTCTCGTTTATGGAAAAAATACACTATTGTGCTCGCCATGTCCGTCTGTCTGTCTTTCCGTCCGTCCGTGACCTCAAGTTTTCGTCGACGAGAAAATGCGTTCTCTGGCACTCACTGCAGTGAGTACTGAGATATATTTTTTTAGTTTATAGCCGTGGCCCCTGGTGTTGTTTTTTTTATTAACGAAGCCCGATTTTTTATTTTTGCCTTAGTTTTTTACACGCATTTTTCCGTTTTCTTCAAATTTTTCCCCCTCCCCCATTTTGAATCCGAACTATGCACAAATCTAAAACTAGGGCGTCGTTACTCGATATGTATGGTCTTTACAAATCGAATGGTATATGTCTCATCGCTGTAGCTTCAAAACTCTAGGAGGAGATAGATTTTCCGTGACAATAACTTGGAATGTTCAGGAGAGCGCGACAAAGTTTCGCCCGCATCGCAATTGGCACTCAGTGTAGCAAGGATACGAAACTAAACGTTCCTGGAGCTTGATTCCGCTCAAGGATGGTGGGAGTGACTACATGCGCACCTTCTCATTCAACGCCAGGCGGGCTACTGAGCTGCACCTCAAGCAAACACTGTATTTATAGTGCTGGGCAGCGAATAAGCTCCTATCTAATTTGTTAAAGAACTCCCCCCACCCCCCTTTCATGATCTGTCGTGAAAGCATAAATCAACGTACACAGATGGCAATGGTGTAAAAAAAGTGTAAAAAATGGTGTAAAAAACCTCAGTACCTGAAATGTCAGCTTTAAGATGAGACTAGAAACCGGAAAAGCCAAATCGAAAATTTTAGGGTATACCCCCCCTTGAATAGTTTGACATCTTCTTATATTGAACGTTGCTATTATTCCAATATAACGATTTTTTACGCATGGCTGAAATGAGGCATGCTTTCTTCTTGATAATTGTGGCAGGTCTAGCTTGGAGTTGAGGTATTGAAGGATGCACTGTCTGCTATCTTTTGTATATAAGTTTTCCCTATAAATCAGAAACCAGCCACTGAATTGACGGGTTACGTGTGGGAGAGTTACCGTCTCTAATTGAATACCAGGACAGCCTAATGATAGACGAAAATTCTTCACCATGCAAATTATTACGAGTTCTTTGATGATTTCCGTACTGACACTGTAAAGACAAACATAAGTAAATCAAGTAAAGACTATCAGAAATATTCTCACTGGAATACTCCTTATGGGTCAGCGATGGCCAATGGGCCTGTAAATGAGATCATCATTTAGCTGTTGGTGGGTAGCCGCTTGTTGGGAATACCAGCAGCCCGGAGGATATGGCACACTCTCCGTTGCCCACCCCGCCATCGCCACCCAATCAGCAACGGTTCTCCCCCTCCCTCACCCCTTTATTCACAACAAGGAGGACATTGAGGTGCAGGATGGTAAAAGAACGCCGCCCTGAATCCATTCGCCACAGTGATACGGCAGGCGCCCGCCCCCAAACGCCTTCCATCAGTGCCAGATCAAGCCAAAAGTCAGTCACGAGATGCCTTCCGTTATGTGGTCAAAACCTGTTGGGTCAGCGACAGTGCCACCACTCGTTTGTCCTCGATCATAGGGACTTAGGAAATTTCCCTAGATCGTTAAGAGGTGACCTAGGAAGCCGCCATATGGTACCTGACAAAGCACGAACACCTTCGGCCAACCCCGAGTCTGACGTAAAGCTGCTCAGTTTCAAGGCCAACTCCCCGAAGACTGATACCGTATGCATACTCGTGCTGCCAGATTGGTCGACGGGGCTGAGTCCCCCCAGGTGCGGATTAGCACGACCCCCGCGGCCTGGTTACGGAGCCCTCTCCGCAAGGAGATACCACAGGCAGCACAGCGGCGAAAGCTTGGTTATGAGTCCCCCTGACCCGGGTCTTATGACTGGTGCATCCTCACACAAGCAATAGTTAGAGCACACGGGCTGGCATACCTCCCCCCGAGGTCTCCCAGGCCATCGGTTACGGCGCCAGTCCGAGTGTAGGTCCCGTCACTACTTGCGTGCTCGCTTCAGCCCGGATACCGTACTTGGTCAGCGCCAGCAATTGTCAGCATAATAAGCAACCATAATTAGCCTGGTGGGCCTTTCGGCCTGAACGAGTCCAGGCCCTGCGCATGCCCGCAGTCCAGGTAAGGACTTTGACCGCCATAATCAATAGGTCCCCGTTGGTTAAACCCAGGGTCTTCAATGCCCGGACCGAGTCTGGCGCCCAATAACCTCGCCAACTCAAAGTCGCCGAAAACAAGGACACCTCGCTCGCCCCGGAGATGACAAGTACGCCCTGCCTAACCTGGAGGGTGTCATACTTGGCAACTTTTCGGGTATGAGCCGTGGTTAAACAGAAGCCGCCGGACACCACCTGTGTATCAAGCAGAGTGGCGCCGACATCCCCAGGCTTCCATATCACCATATCTGGCTTGCAAAATGTTCCCTCATAGGGCAACATGGGTTTTTGTACAATCGTATAGCCTCTGTGCCGCAACCAACCTGAAATGAACCTCGTCACCTCATCGTGACGCTTCACCCGTTAACCATGCACCAGGGGGCAGGCCTGAGACATGTGGCCAAGTGAGGCAAATACTCCACATGTCTCGCACGATGACAATGCCTCATTGCCCGGCCTACCCCTCCTACAGCGCAATGGCGTAGGGAGGGCTGCACACCTGACTTTCACGGCTTTAATGTAATCTCCACCGTTAAGCAGGCGCGTTCATGTAGAGACCCGGGAACTACCTCGGGGGAAGCCGAGGCTTGGGGCACAGCCCCTCGACCGTCGACGATATTGCCCAATGCTATAGCCCACGCTGAAGTCCACTCAGTAGTTGTACGGGTACATGCTCGGACAACAGGAACTCTTGCCGACACAGACATTTGACAAGCCTTTTTTGCTTGGCCAGAGGTATTCGAACCAAGAGACTTGATATACCCGTACCGCTGCCGCTACCCATAGATGCGTGCAGCATTGCGTCAGGAACATCGGTCGGGAGTTTAAGCCATGCACGACAAGCTACCCGAGCACGTTGATCCATTCGGTACAACTGTGTTCTGTACACTTGTCCCAGGATGAGCATATGCGTCAGCCTGGGGATCTAGTGGTTTATCAACAGAAACAGTCGTTGCTGGGGCTTCAGAGTGGAGCTGCCGCTCACATGCCGCTACCAACAGCCGTCGTGATAATAAAGTTTACCAATTGGTTGAGTACAAATTTTGTCACTTGCGCAAAAGAGCATGGAAATATTTGATCGAATTTCACTGAATTTGATTGAATATGGAAACATTTGACAACCTTGCCATCGCCAGCGTAGTGGAAAGCAGCGTCTGTTGAGAAGAGGAGAATCTTGGCCGCCTCATCCCTCCATCGAATTTGTTCTTTGCATGCCAGGGCCTGCAGCAGAGCGTCGAAACCTCCCTCTGGCGAGTCATCGTTCGCCAACACTTGAGCATCACCCACTACTGCCTGTCAAACACGCGGTTAAACATGCAAATCTTAAAAGCATCAAGCAGGAGAAATGTTTTTAGAAAAACCGGAAAATTAAATGGTTCTAACGTCAAATCCTGAATATTCATTACTACGCGAACTGACATAAACGATAAAGCGGAACTCTTTCAGTGTATTTTCTCGAGCTTCCTACATCCCATTTCATATTCTGAACTATATTTAGAAGGTACATCTAGAATTTCAGAGGAGTAGTGACATTTTATTCATAGCAATGCTACAATAAAATTGTAGTATTGTTTTGAATGGTGTCATGATCAATCGGTGTTTAATAATCATGTGAAGCAAAGTGAAGGCATACTAAATTTACGATTTTCCATTGAAAGCAATTTAAAAATGATTACTTCTCTGTCTCTGGTCGTTCTAATTTTAGGATCTAGAAACCATTGCATATTTTCAAATAAAACATTGCCTAAACATTCTTGTGCGGTATGCCGGTATCGTACCTCAATGTTGTGTATTAGTACCTGAAATGTTGCGCTATCGTATCTCAAATGTTGCAGTATCGTGCCTCAAGTGCTGCGGTATCGTACCTCAAAGGTTGTAGTACCTTACCTCAAATTTTACGACATCGTACCTCAAATGTTGCAGTATCGTACCTCAAGTGCTGCGGTATCGTACCTCAAGTGCTGCGGTATCGTACCTCAAAGGTTGCAGTACCGTACTTCAAATTTTACGACATCGTACCTCAAATGTTGCAGTATCGTACCTCAAGTGCTGCGGTATCGTACCTTAAATGTTGCAGTACCGTACCTAAAATTTTACGACATCGTACCTCAAATGTTGCAGTATCGTACTTCTCCAGCGCCATGGCGTTGCAGAAAGTCATAGACACATCACATTGTTTGCTGGTAGGTCTGTGCTGTCTATGCCACCGAAATACAAATTTGTTCATTAAAACCATGTGCAGAAGTCAGAATATTCAATCAAATGAGCGCAAAAATAATTTTCGACAAAACGAAAGAAATGTTTTGAAGTAGAGTGATTTCGATTATTGTCAGCGAGCAGTTGTAGTTAGATTAACAAAGGCTTAAATACATCACCCAATGAAATACGTCAATCCCCTGAGTCTTAAATCCATATATCAGTTTTGAAGACTTAACACGCACTAATTATTCCAAGATGAAAAAATATAAATAACAATTTTCTGAAAACTTTGTATTGTTTTCAAGAAATTTACCCACATAAAAGTTCACTTGCTTTACACACATTCTCGTATCACTTACCCTCTGATTGTTGCTATTGCATCTGCGTAAGGCAACGTGTCTTTGTCCACGAAAGTCCCGAAACCAACGTTGAAGCTGAAGAGATGTTTTGTATGACCTCTCAATAATTAATAGTAATATGTACTTTTTTTAAATATTAGGCCTCATTTCAATTAATATTGATATTGGAATTAATATCTAAGTGCTTCAGTAATATTTAGTGACAAAAATCAACATGGGCTTAAAATTTCAATTTGTTGGGCACGATTATCTGCACAAACGATTATCTGCTATCATCAGTTTAATTTGTGATGAACTTATCTGAAAAATATTTCAGTGTGCGTTGATGGAGATGTTCGTATGGAAGAATTTTTCACTGTAAGTGGCTTGCAGCCCGTTTGTCTGAAAAATTTCTTACTCGCTCGTGTGATTTTTGATCTCCTCTCCTAGTGTGCTTGCCAGATTTTTGACACTTTCCAAATCATCTTTCATGCTCGAAGAGATGTCCGTCAGGTAATACAAATCTATCTTAGGTGCCGAGGTCACTTTCAGGATCAGAGGAACCTCCACAGTGTCGCCTGTATGGAAACAGGGGGCCAGGTAGAGGAGTATGGGCAAATTCAAAAGGACGGCCATGCAGGCGTCTAACGGACAAAAAAGTTCAAAAATCAAAAGATAACCAAAAATTACTCGCCTCATGAACTTGTAAAATGTAGAACTATGTACAATGTCCATTGAAAACATAGAATGTCAGTTCAGATTGTTTTAGTCTTATTCAGCTGGATTAAGACCAGTGACTAGAAGTTTATGAAAAATCCAAGTAGGAAACTGATTAGGCTTGAATGAAATAATAAATTACCGTGTATTTATATGACGAATAGACTTGTCCCTATTGAGGAAACTTACTTGACCAACATAGAGGCAAGCACAATAAATTTATTTTAATAGCTGATACTATGAGAATAATTATTAGGAAAATAAGCTCTATTCGTTCAATATCGAAAACAAGTTTAGAGAATCACTCGTTATAAGACCAGAAAAATTCATGAGCGATTGAAAAAGATGTTAAATTATCAAAATTAATGAACTGATCTCCACGTAATCCGAGGACATCCTGTGCACTGGCGATTTCCTCACCGCTTCTGATGTCAACACTTGTACTGTGAGGCGTCAGCGTGGCTCGTACGTATTTGTTGGCCGGGATTAATTTTCTATCGCTCCGGTATCCGCTCTTCAGTTCTTGCAGTTTGCCATCCGTGCATTTGTGGAGCTCGTCAGGTCCGAGGCAAGCACTCTGCACCAGCGATAAAATAATTAAAAAAATATAATCATACTACGAAATGACCGACATGGGAATTTATTTATTGAATAAATAGAGAAATTACGCATATCAAATATGATACATTGACTAATTTTACAAAAATGATTGAAATACATAGCAATCCGACCATCTAATTATATATATATATTCTAATTAACTGGGTCAACTAAACCACCAGGCAAATATAACAGCAAAGAAATGCCCATCGAAGCCAAATGATAAAGCTAAGAGCCGCATTCACTAGCTTCGACAGTGATGGAGAACGGCGAAAGTAAGCGAGAAATAATCTCTTATTGCATCAATAGAAGCAACATTATGTGCACCATAAAATTGCTAACTAGCTATGGACAATAGTCCGCAAGATGAATTATGTGTTTTCAACGAAATTTGCCGCTGTTATGAACTATTTTTCCGGCTGGCAGTGCATTGATCTAGTTTTGGGAAACTGACTGACGAAGAAATGGCCTTGTTCAATTGCTAACGCTTTCACACTAAAAATTTAAAAGTAAAGAAAACTCCACAAAAATTCATACTTTCTTTATAGAAAACATTTCAGGGTCATCAGTTCGAAAATTCTAGAACAAATAAATAAGTAATTAGTAGTCAAGATTACAAAACCTAAACGGTAAAACCTATCTATTTACAATTTCATGTGGGTAAGAGCTAAAAGCTGAATTTAAACTAGGCATCTGTTTAAAAATATTCAATGAGTCTAAATGCGTGAATCGGAACCACCGGAAGTGGAATATAAAACATTGAAGTCACTTTCAGAAAATGGAACATCTCACTGCCCGGCGTGAGCGCGCACAACCGAATTAGGAGGGCGCGATATTAAGTGACCATTCTAAAGCTCCTCCCCTTATGTTCTGCGACCCTAGAATAGGGATTGCGAGACGTCATCCCAACGTACGTAGATGCACATCGTGCAAAACTATATTTAGAAACTAGGGACGCTCGCATCTGCATAGGGAGAGTTTCTTGGGGCGCATGCCGGAGGCCAGCTTTGCCATACTTCACACTTAGTTCATCATCCTTTCCATAGGTAAGAACGCTAGAGTGCATAACGGCCTATGAAGTCAAGTGCTCAAGGCCATAGCGCCGCACACAACCACAAAATAAGCTTGCCAAAGGTAAACATGGTCATGCTGCATCTGGAGGGACAGCGTGAATAGGTTAGGCCAGAAGAGTTTAGGCAGGAGTAGGTACAGCCGGATGGGGGAACTGGCTGCTTATGAGCGAGCATGCTTTAGCAGTGGCTGAAGACCTACGGCGCTATTGTCTTTCGGCAGTGTGTCGCTTGTCTGGATTACGGAGTTCAAGCGTAGTCTGCGGCTTCTAGTTCTGAGGCTGAGTAAAGTTAATGCATGGTGAAACTAGGAGTTGGATCTAGGGCTTATTTTAGAGTAAAATTTGTGGCCTACGGCTGCGCCCCCGAAAATAAGTTATAAACAGAACCTGGATATTCCCACCTTGGGCACAGCGTCTCTGAGGCACCAGTTACAGGTAGGAGCCTCGATGCACTTGGCGCAAGTCTCGTGCGTGTTGCAAACACTTGACGATTTGCTTGAATCAATCAACAACAACGAGCAAAAAACTAGAAAACTTATTCGATAGCCGTGCGAGTTTCTCATGGTCGCCATGGCACCACAGATTGTGCGTCGAATTATAAATTTCTAGAATAAAGTTTTTATACAAATCTGAAGAGTGGGAAACTTAATACAAATGTCGGTTCAATCTCACGTTTTAGGCAATTGATTTTTAACTTGAACAGGTATTGGTTTAGATCAATATTTCGATTGAAGATGATTTATTCAAATTTGTTAAATTTTGGGACACGCATTTGTATTAAAGTTTTTTCAACATTGTTAGTGAAGTGAAATATTACAGGCAAATATTACAAAATTTTTTGTAGAGCAAAATTAATTCTTTGTGGTATGTTAGTAGTTACAGTAGTTGAACATGGGCAGGTCATTCTCCAACGAAATATTTTCAAACCTAAACCTAGAGACGACACAGGAGCCAACTCTACTTGATAAAGGAAAATTACTCCTTCAAGCAAAACTTGTTTAAGAAGAAAACAGGAAAGAATTGCGACTAACTTCCGTTGAAAGGAAATTACATTCTTAAGTATTGACACCACGGCACTGTTTCTTGTGCGAATGAATGTTCCTTTTCAGAGGAAATCTAGAAGCTTTCTGACGGATGTATTCTTTTTCAGATAAGGCAGCCGGGTTATCAGGCTCCACGAGATAAGAAGTCAAGCTAACTGATTAAGATATTGCAAGTGTGTAAGTTTATGGCTCCGTTTCCACATCACAAACATTTATTTTGATAATTTTTCATTCGATTAATTAGATAATCTGATTTTACATTAGATTTCCGTTACCTAATGCATTTACTGATACATTTAGTGAAGGTTGCGCTCTATTCATTAGACTCTATGCTATGTAAAGAAACCCCTATTTTCTCAAATCAATTGGAAAACCAGATGCCATTCATTGGATACGACTGGCTGGGGAATATCAGTTCTTCAATCTGTAGGAAGCCTGCCGTGCAGCCTCCTGTGCTACCGTCCTTTATTGTCCGATCGAATTGTAACTTTACATTCAGGTGCACCTGGAATTTGCTCATAAAAACCCTGTTCTCAATTATTGCTTGGCAACCTTGTTTCCTCTTTTATTCTGTGCAAAACCACCAGCATATGTCCGGCCCGTGTTATATGCAGGTCAACCCTGCAGCGTCGGGTAAGTCAACAACCCTGAATTAGTTTGCCACACTGTGTGTCCCTACGGTTCGGGATTACCATGGCACCCCTTATTTTTACCCTGCACAGTTAGTAGAACCTTGTGGCACGCAGGGACTACCTTGTTATGTCAGTGATACCTGCACGTTATCACACGAAACCTATAATGTAAAGCAGTGTTATCCAGCAAGTTGTATATTCTCGTCTGCACTTAAACTAGGCTCAACTTTCTTCGTTATTACAAGCGCTCCTAAAGCGAAATTGATGGCGCTTACTCCTCGGAGTCGTTTTCTGCATTTTGGCGTTGTAAGGGATTGCAACAGGACTCTTGAAATTTATCGTTTGGCGTTTTGATTCACTTTTGACATGACCTCGTTTAGATGCGCTTTGTATTTCGTCATTGTATGGGGATCCCACCACAGAGGTGCGTGTAGGTATTATGTCTAATTATTCATGTGGTAGTCATGTATACATATATCCAGTGGTTTATATAGGTGACTATGAATATCATTACATGTATTAATCAGTTACTTATTTTTTGCCAAGTTGTCATTATTCTGATTTGTTAGTGTCCATAATTTGTTTATTCATGCATGTTCAGAAAGGCTCCGAAACGTGAGGCCGGAGTTAGTAGAAGTGCCAAGGAAATATACGGTTTATTCGTTTGAATTCTCGTATCCGTCATTTGTTTATTAATATAGTTATTTATTAAAAGTTTGGGGAAACCGAGAGTTGGTTTGCTTATTTATCGAATAGTCCTCAACAGCGTATAGTGGCGTTAGCCATGAATAGGCCAAATCTGGCCTGTCACCGATTTTAGCCATTGAAGTATTCTTTCCGATTGCTGCGGTTTTGAATCCGCAACTCAATGCTCCAATTTTGCTATTCTCAAACAACCCTACCACCTTACCGATTTTGACTATAACGGTCACAAAATACTGGGGTCGAACCAGCATCTCATTGCTCCAATCCCACTATTATGATCTGAAACTGCTGGGTCACCCTGTCATAAAACATGCTCGTAAATGCATGGTCGTACAGTATAATCATGTAATATCAAAATTAAGGATCAATTGTTGCATTCAGTTTCCCATATTTCACGATCAAACTATTTCTTCAATCCATCCTCTGAACTTTAACCACTTGGTCACCCTGCCAAGTAAATGAAATTAATGCCGACTGGAATAATTATCTGCGACGCATCGCAATTTTAAATGTTAACATACAAATATTACTATGACAATAATATAAACATTGGATTCGGACCAAATAAATGGAAACTCTTAATGGTTCAGATACTTGCTATGAATGTATTTCCACTTGCATTATTCCATCAATGGTAAATAGATCAAGGCGGAACTGGATAAAAAATTCTAATTTTAGGTTCTCTAGTAATGCCTTAATGACTCTGAAAAAATGATAAAAAATAATACATGTAATAATAGTGATAGCAGTAATAGTAATAATAATGATAATAATACTAATAATAATAATAATAATAATAACGATACTACTACTACTAATAATAATAATTACACTAATAATATTAATAAAAAACATGGGTTTTTCAATAAAACCGGGTGGATTGGGCAATTAAAATAACTCCTTGGTTTTTTGCAAACATGGTAGAAGACATTGTAGAGGAAATATATTTAATTTATTGCTGTATACATAATTTTTAAGTTGCAATGTATTAGGTTTAGGATTTGGTTTTTTCATTTTTAGTTTCAATCACCTTAGCCGTGACCTCCAGCAACATTGCGTATTACCTATCATTGTGTCTTGTGTTCTTGCCGTGGAGGTACGTTAATCGATAGCCCTGTGATTATATTTGTGTTTGTTCAATTTTAGAAGTGAATAGTTTCGTGTTATTGATTTTTTGTGCGTGTTAATTTGTTGGTTTATTATATATTCATTCTCTAGTTAGTTATTTCAAGCGTTATTTTTGTTCTATTTCAGGAAGGCCTCGATGTTCGAAATTGATATATGAGCCCAAGTTATGAACTCTATATTTGGACGTGATTAGTGAAGTGAAAGTGAATGAACGCCCTTTAAAGTCAAGTTGAAGTCAGGTTAGGATTAGGGTGTTAGGTTTGTTGTGTTTTGTTTCTATTTATTCATTGTTAATTATATTTACTTGCAACTGTTGATTCATTGAAGAAAATCCTTGGCCTTGAAAAGTTTATTAAAGTCTTGAAGAACGATCACGTGCTATGTGTCGGGGAGACGTCAGTTTAATAAGAGATAGTCCCCTCACAACATCATAAAGTTTAAAATGAAAACCCAAGTTTCAAAGAATAGAATAGAACAGAATAGAAGTGTCGGCACTGAAGAAAATATGCCCATGGCCTGTTGCCGATTCTTGTACTCTTCGTGACATGATTCCGACACATAAGGGATCCGGCCTTTTGAAACCGATCTTTTCACACCTGACGATTGTTTGAGATAGCTGCTGGACTTATTGCCTGGTCCGTAAGGTGCAGGCATTTCAAGACTGAACATATGCTCCCGCATAGCTTCATCTAATCTGTTCCTGAAGGCGTTCATGCTCAGAGCGTCAACGATGCCATCAGGGCGGCTATTCCACATGTCGGTGACTCGGAGCGAGAAGAAATGTTGTCGCATGGATGTGTTACAACGCAGTTTTTTTATTTTATAGCTGTGGCCCCTTCTTGTTTCAAATTTTAGGACTACTTCTGGGACTTTGTATAAACCCTGAGTATACTTGTATACTTCAATGAGGTCACCACGCAGACGTCGATAACAGAGCCTTGGAAGCTTCATAATCTTTAATCTTTCTTTATTAGGCTTGCCTTTTAATCCCGGAAATATCCTTGTTGCACGTCTTTGAACACTCTAGACTAAATTTTTGTCCTTTTCTAGTGTTGCAATGGTGACCACACGACGTTTACAAACTCAAGGTTCGGGCGCACGACAGCGATAAATAACAGCTTCATCGCTTCTGCATCTAGGTACTCGTATGAGCGTACGATTAGTCCAAGTCGTTTATTGGCTTTATTAACTTGTGCTTCAAAATGCTTCGCAATAGTAAAATTCTCTAACAACTTAAAAGCAAAGAAAACTCCACAAAAATTCATAGTATCTTTAATCAAAGAAAACGTTTCGGAGTCCAGCTCCATCGTCAGTTCGAAAATTATAGAACACAGATAAATCAGAATTAGTACAAGTCAAGATTACATAAAAAAACCTAAGCTGCAAAACCTACCTATTTACAATTTCAAGCGGGTAAGAGCTAAAAGCTAAATTCAAACTAGGCCTCTGTTTAAAAATATACAAAGATTCTAAAATACGCAAATCAGAAACACCGGAACTGGAAGCTGACACTTTGAAGTCACTGTCAGAAACTGAAACATCACACTGCTCGGCATGAGCCCGCACAGCCGAATGAGGTGGGCGCGACAGTAAGTTACCAGTTCTACAACTCCTGCCCCTATGTTCTGCGACCCTAGAATAAAGATTGCGAGACGTCATCCCGACGTACGCAGATGCACATCGCGCACAACTGATGATGGAGCTGGACTCCGAAACGTTTTCTTTAAAGATACTATGAATTTTTGTGGAGTTTTCCTTGCTTATAAGTTTTTAGTGAATTTGCGATTCAAGCAAACGAGTGACATTATTAGTAAAATTCTGTTTGGGTTGTGACCAATCAATTCCTGGTTTTTAGCATACGAAGCTTTACATGCAAATGATGTTATAGTTTTGAGTAGTCAGTGGTGAAAAACTTTTCTTCGTCTACAATTTAACTTGAAAGTTCACTACAAAGTTAATCTAATAAGATATTTGGTAATTGGGGTATTCTTGTTTATAAGTGTCCATTTTAAAATTACTCCACAGAAAATCAGCATAAATAAAAACAAAAATGTATGATATTACGCGTGATATTCTCCTAATTAAAATGATGGAAAAGCTGAATTCAAGTTCAAACAGATGTCCCCACTCCACATAACCCCTTCGAGTTTGAGTTATCCCATGAATCAATTTTAAAACACTTCTCTTTAACTTCACTTCTTGTTTGTTTGTTTGTCTGTGCTACAAATCTTATAATCGATATTTAGCACACTTCTAACTCTCCAATCGATCTGAAATTTTGCACACTTCTGTAAAGTTGGAGACAATGCCTTAATCAATCGACAAAATATCTAATTTTAAAATTAGTTTTTTTTGTAATTTAAAAAATTGAAAAATATTTTTTTTTCTTCTACAAATCTTATAATCGATATTCAACACACTTCTACCTGTCCAATCGATCTGAAATTTTGCACACTTGCGCAAAGTCGGAGACAATGCATGAATCAATTGACAGAATAAAGAATTTTGAAAATTTAAGTTTTTTCTTCCATAATTAGAAAAAAAAATTTAAAATTAATTTTTATTTATGTATGGAAATAAAATTAAAAATTCATTGTAGATATGTAACATCGGAGACAGTGTATTCTTTAGAAGTGTTGTCTTTAAAAAGTAATTTTTAAACGCATATTATTTAAACTTTAGCACACCAACTTCCAGATACGCAATGTCGCACTCAGAATACGTTACGGAGTTTTTTTATAGCTGAACTTAAGGCGTCTCCGGTATTTTATTTTTGGAATTGATGATACGAATTTGAATTAATTAATAGCTATTTAAAAATGTTAACAATAAGATATAAAAATGGTGTCTGCAAGTCTTGCACTCGGTCTTTTTTGGATAATTGCAAACATTTTTCAAAATTGTGTTTTGATGCCAATTAATGTGTTTAGATACCAATTAATGTTTGTTATGGTAGTAATAGAGCCAACGTGTAAAGGTCGTCAGACGTCAGGTTGATGAATTTTACATTTAGACATGACTTTGCATGAGAAAGTTGTCCAGTCCTTCGTTGAGCCAACAATTGGGCACTCACGGAAGGCGGCTCAGGTAACGGGCGAAAGGAAATAAAAAGCAAACGGACGAGTGATGATCTCACCTTTGACGTGACGTAACGTACCGCAACGTAATGGCGGTTTGTGAAGGAAGGCTATGAAAACTAGCAGGGATCATTTCAGGCCTTCTTTAGCGTCCCGATGCTTTGAGCCGATGGTGCTCATGAAGCTAGATTGACAGTTTGGCTGTTTTTTTTGTTCGCACTGCACAGTGTTTGCGCTGCAATCATCACTGCAAGTTTAGCTCCCAGAAAGCGATCGAAGGTCGTTAGTGTACTTTTTTGGCAGACTTTGATTCACTGCAGGAGTTTTTTTTACTTAGTGGCCTCTTCGTTTCTGCATAGGAGCCGGTCGACTCAATGACATTTTGCTTAAAAGTAGACATGAAGTGACCGAAATGGGATGGACGAGTGGGTTTCGCGCGTCTTTCCCCATGTGAAGTTAAAAGTTTCGGAAAAGAAGTGCAATGGGCCTGAAGAAAGCTGACAAGGAACTTCAAGGTGGGTAAGAATGCAAGGTCATGGTCGATAGCTCGATAGATGGGTGGTTGTCGGAGGTCATCTCTCGGTTGCGTGGTAATCTTGAGTGTCGAGGTTAGAATAATTTTACTCTCATTATTTATTTATTCATGAAAGATAAACATGAAAGTAAATTAGATAGGATATAAAAGTAATCTAAACAACTGAGTACAGGAGCGGCGGAAGAGGTACTGGTCTTCAACAAGAGAAGATCTTCACAAAAAAAGAAGTTATCCCGATGAGGTCCAATAGTAACTCTGAATTTGTATTTTTACACCTATCTCAATCATATTGTAGCAGAACAACAATACAGGACATCAAAACATTCTCGTCATATTACAGCAGAACAATATGTGAACTATACCTCTGCGGGTGCCAGCTTTTGTTACACAAAACCATGCAGTCAAGCCCAGAGCTAAGCAGCAGAACGACTAACGCTGATAGGGGATTATCAACTACACCACCAATACTGGAGTAATAACACTAGACAAGATGTTATACTTTCTTTTTCTTCTTCGTCTCATGAAAAAAAACACAATATTCTAACAATATTCAGACCATTCAGAGTTTTGAATGGTCTGTAGATCAATGACTGCGGTGTGAGAGGCGATTTGAAACTAGATGACCAGGTGTATAGTCTAGTATTGGGCATATGTGATGGTGCTGTTGGTGGCCGTTGCATCCTTTTTGAAGAAACTACAGTATTTTATGGCAAAACATTCAGCATGCTCAAGATTTCAGTTACCTTCATGGGTGTGGCTTTGATGTGATCTCCAACGAGATTACTCGAGCCTCGTTGGAGGGCAACGAAGAAATGCCCGATTGGAGTCCCGTATAGGATCTGACGAATACCTCACGCTCGTCATAGCCCTTCTAGAGTAGATTTATTCGGTTATGTCACCGGCACAATATCCACTTTCGGACTGTTTCTTTTTTTTTAATCATTTAAGTTTATCTTAGGATATTATCCATGCACTTTTTTAGGCTAAGCAAGTTCTCTTGACCTTATTGGCTTTCGGAGACCTCCGATTCTTTCTAGTATGGTTGATTATAAGCTTTATATAAGTCATCCTCGATTCAGAAGGATTTTTCCTTCTAAGCGGAGGAAATGTTTTTATGAGCTTGAACAAAATGATATACCCTAAGATAAGACAGCGGGTGAAAGAAAGCAGTCAAAAAATATAGCAAAATCTCCCCTATCTTCCAAGAAGTTATGCACTGGCCGTAGGCTGTGGCAACTGACGCCTTGGTCTCTTCCATGGTCCATGCTTTTAGGATTTGTCGATGCGCTTTGTTACAACACGACGACTAGGAGGCATGTAACATCGGTATGGGTACTAGCGTAAGAGAGCAATAAGTCACAGATTTTTTTAAATCAACAATGATATTAAATATTTTGAAATATTTTAGTCTGTAATTTACTATAATAATTTAATGGAGACAGACATTGGAATAAAACGAGATACTCAATCAAGCATTTTCAAACATTGCATCAAGCAATTCTGATAATACCAACAATGTCAGTTCAATGTCCACCTAACTTACCAGCGAGATTCTATTGTACCCCAAGAACTTCTCGACACCTGTGACTGCATGAATTCAAATTTGGACGACATTTGTCCTGGATGAATCACAATGGAAAATTTCTTTACCAGAATTTGCTGCATTTCTTATATTATCATATCAGTCACGGAATTGAAAATTATGATTATTGTAAATGCATTTTTCATTGGATGTAAAGCGAATTTTAAAAAGGAGGCAAACATGGGACAAGATTTTAAAAATAAACAAACTTATAATTCGATAGACCTAAGGTCCAAAAAATTATTACTACAGGATTCATTTATAACAGAAAACTAAGCAAACTTTCAACTATATATAAGTATAATTAAACATTACAAATGCTTTATTCTATACAAATTGTCCTGGTTGTCATAACTAAATAGTTGTTCTAAGTTTGTACGCGTCTGTTATTGCAGAGCATTGTTTTATTGAAACTGCGTGTTGCACGGAAAACAAATCAGTGTGGTGGACACGATTTAGAGAGATGATAAAATATCACTGGTTGTTAAATCTTGCCCTGCATCGTCCGTTTCGACTAATCTAGATTTGGACACGCGTTCACAGCTCGCTGCTGGCAGTTTCTTCGTAGAGCGGGAGCTCCATTTCCGCAACAGGAATTTTGTTGAGCTCATTGGTCTGTTGGATAGATAAAAATAATAATTAATTTTAGTTAATATACACAAGCACATAAAACTACACAATAATCATTACGCAGTTTATTTTAGCAGTTTTTTACTCGTAATGATTAGAATTTCCGAACAGAGCTGTTTAATATTACGTCGAAGTTGAAGGCCACCACGCTTGATGTTCGCAACTTCAAATCATTTAACGGTTGAACTCGAATTAATTCACTTCCTGTTTACCTTCAAGATGGTGATATTCTTTGTTCAGTCATGTGAGATACATATTCATAATATTAGCACCGACCTAGGGCGTTACAACATCAAGTAACTCCAGTTGTGATATTCATTTGCATATCTGCAATACAGTGTGTAATCTGATCTCCTAACCTAGTTTCAGTAAGGCTGGTTAACCCCTACCGTGTTTCATTCCCCAGTACGAAACACGATTGTACGACGCTAGCACAGTCTGGTCACTGACTTACAAAATGCTGTGCACGCTAAGGTTGTTTCATAGACGTGGCCTTCCTTGACACCATGCCCGGCGCAACGCTGAATCTCCTACCCTGACACTGGTCAGCCCAGCTGTTTCAACTGACTCGCACGCAGGACTGCTGGCAACCGATGTCCGACGCACCGTCTGTATCGGCAGTCGCACTGAAGCTTCCGCGAATATGGAGCCTTGGAGGCAGGGCCCGCTGTCCTGGTTTTCATACGCCATGACAAATTTCAGCCGACACGGCACCACACGAAGCCGTAGCATATATAACCATTTAGCGTCTGCTCTTCCGTACGAAGCAATAGCAGAAGTACATGATATTTTGTGCTCAACCGATGTTGAAGACCCGTATGGTTTAATAAAACAAGCCATAATCGATCGTACCGCGATTTCCGAACGAGAACGATTTCGGCAGCTCTTTTCTAAAGAAGACCTTGGCGATCGTAAGCCATCGCAGCTTCTACGTTATATGCAGAGCCTATTCCAGCATGACAGCAAAAATTTCGACAAGAAATCACTACGGGAGCTTTGTACACAGATGCTTTCCATCTCGATCCAGTCTGTTTTGCGATGATACCAACGGATACGGCACAGAAGACCTTGGCAAGAATCGCAGACCGCGTTATATAAGTCGACAAGCACTGCTAATGTAGTACAAACATCGCTTCATCCAAATCCATAACTACTCGACTTTGAGAAGAAAGTATTTGACCTCACGGATCATGTTCGAAATCACTCACCATAGTAAAGAAAAACGATGGCGGATCACGCTCCCCTTCAAGAGGAGGATCAGAGAGGGGATCAAGAGGGGATTCAATAGAGGGGATTTCGCTCCCCTACACTGCAGCCCACAGCGACTAAACAATTCTGCAGCCTCAGGTCAGCAGTGCTACTGCCGCAAGTGTTTCGGAACGGCAGCAAGAAAATACGTTTCTCCTTGCAACTATAAGAGGAATCGAGAGCCGGGAGTGATGACGACGACCACCACTCACAAACGCCGTGTTTTACGACTCCCTGATCGTCACACTAATTTAAACCTTTTGATTGACACCGGTGCAATGTTAGCATACTTACTTACAGCGTCTACGACCGACCGTCTGAAGCCACAAACGTAACAGCGATTGGATCAGCCATACCTGCCTTTGGAGAAAAGTCGCTCACCTTGGATTTTGGCTTAGGACGGAGATTTATAGGTTGGTATTTTTGATTGCAAATGTGAAACAACCATACAACCATAAGGTCATGAGGTAAGGTCATAAGTAGACGGTTCCATTAAGTTGGAAACGACCGGTCACCCTGTTAATAGTGTTCAATGTAGAATTTCGATTATTAACAGTACAAGTGTCAGTAATTGAGATAATATTGCAATTCCAACCTCTACATAAGCCTTTGAACGCCGATATTCACCTGAAACACTCAGTGTGACCCATATTGAAACTACCGATCCTCCAGTGCATAGCAAAGCACGCCCGTTTTCACCGGATCGCTTGCGAGCAGCAAAACAAAAATTTGAGCACATATGTGAGCGAGGCATAGTGAGACGTTCTACCTTTGCTGGTCGTCAGCCCTCCACATGGTTACCACGAGCAACGGGATTGGCGTCCATGGGGCGACTACAGAACACTTAACTCTTGAACTGTTCCTGACTGTTGCTCACTACCATTCATACAGGACATAGCATTGTCTCTCGCGGATAGCACGATCTTCAGAAAAATTGATCTATCATGTTTGATCTATCATGCATAGTGCGCGCCTACAATCGAATTCCGATTTACTAAGCGGAAATTCTGAAGACAGCAATCACAACTCCTTTCGGCCGTCTTGAATTTCTTCGTATGCCTTTCGGACTACGCAATGCCGCGCGTTTTGGCGTTTTACAGACGAAATACCAAGGGGCCTCCACTTAGCTTATCCGTACCTTGACGATGTATTGATTGCAAGTCTCAATGGAGAAGCTCACTACAAACACCTTAAAGCCGTTTTTGAGCTATTAGAGTCATTTGGCATTTCAATTAACAGAGACAGATGTATTTTAGGAAAATCATCCATAGATTTTCTTGGCTGTAATATTGGCATCTCCCCTGAAACAAAAATACGAGTTTATCAAGCTGTTCCCTCGGCCTGAAGACTAACAGTCACTTCGCTGTTACATGGGGATGATAAATTTTTACAGGCAATTTATCCCTAACTGTGCTGCTTTACTTGCATTTCTCCACGGGATGTTGACCCCTTGGAAGCGAGGATTGTCGATAAAACTTACCGGAACGGATGCTCAGCAAGAGACAATTGAGACATACGAACAATCCTTGTCGGGTGCTCAGGTGTTATCCCATCCTCGGCCTGACGCAGAATTGAACCTTGCAGTCGACGCATCTGATTTTGCAATCGGTGGAGTTCTACAACAGACGATCGATCGGCGATCACTGGCAACCTATTTCTTTCTACTCACGAAAACTCTCGGCACCAGAAAAAACTACAGTGCCTTTGGAAGAGAATTACTAGCAATTTTCGCAGCAATCAAACATTTCGAACACCTGATCGAAAGTCGATCATTCCACATTTTAAACTTGCATAAGCAATAATTATCGTTCGTTTTTAATGCCAATAAAACGTCTCGCCCACCTCGTGCGCTGCGCCAACTAGAGTTCATATCACAATTCACCATAGGCATTCGACAGTGCTATACCCTAGCTGATGCACTCTCCCGCATCCAGGCAGTGTCTACTCCTCAAATTCTCGAAGATATCGCAGCCGCGCAGTCTAAAATCTAGATGCGTCGAATTTGCTTCTGTGGAAAAAAGCACATCTCTGGTTCTCCGCCAAAACAGACTTTCAGGATTGCCGACTGAAATCTGGTGTGGAGTAAACGGTACTCGAATACGCCCTTTTGTGCCAATAGATCTGCGTTACCAGGTTTTATCGTCGCTCCGCAACCTCTCTCACCCGGGTATAAGGGCAACTCAACATTCGATATCTCAGAGATACGCCCGGCCTTCAATTAATTAGAACGTACGATCGTGAGCTCTTAACTGTTTACAATGCCAACGATCGAAAGTTCACCGACACACCCGATCTCCTCTAGGTACCTTTGCCCTTTCTTCGTGTTGTTTCGACCAAGTCCACGTCTATATTCACGTCGTTATCGTGGGTCCACGTCCGGTAAGCTAGGGATATCGATACCTATTGACATGTATAGACCGGTTCACACGATGGCCAGAAGTTATTCCCATCATCGACATTTCTGCCGCCACTGTAGCACAAGCTTTTCTTGACGGTTGGATTAGTCGATTCGGCGTGCCCTCCACGGTAACCACAGAGTGTGGACGCCAATTTGAGTCGTCCCTCTGGCGCGAACTGCAACAGTACCTTGAAACTCATAATATCCACACTATAGCATATCATCCGCAAGCTAACGGGGTTGTAGAACTCTTCCACATACAAATAAAAGCATCCATAATGGCTCACGTAACATCACCCAACTGGATGGTTTCTCTGCCACTTGTTCTGCTCGGTAAAAGTCGGTGTTTAAAAAGCAGATTTATCTTGCACTGCTGCATAATTGTTATACCGAACAAGTCTATCCCGGGCGAAATTTTCGTCACTACTTCTACACCTATCGATCATCAACAGCTCATTGGACAGCTCCGTGAACGAATGACAGAACTTCGGCCAACAGCTCCACGTAACGAACATCAACGAAACCCTTGGTATCGGATGATTTAAAAACTTGCACTCATATTTTCTGCGTCGCGATATGATTTGCTCACCATTGCAGCATCCTTTTAAAGGTCACTATAAAGTTTTATAGCGTCAATAAAACTTTTGTGATGATTGTAAAGGAAAGCATGAAACTTTATCCATCGATCGCTTGAAACCTGTATTTTTAGCCAACGAAACCAGATCTATTGGCTACCAAACGCGTTCAAATCGCTTTGTCAAACCTAGTCGTAAGGTAACGATCGAACCTGTTTCAATCTAGAGGGGGGGATATCTGTAGCGACCATGCATATACACATTTCCTCCATTTACCCCCGCAATTAATTTTCTAGGAATGTTGCTAGTCTATTATAATTTAGCGGCGTTACCCATCAACTCTAACTCATTATTATCATTAATATGTATTCATCATTTATATGTATCGTCATTAATATGTATCAACTGCAATTGGAATACTGTCATAAATAAGTTAGCTACATATTTGTAATATTATCACCGACCGAGGGCGTTACAACATCAAGTAACTCCATTGTGATATTCATTTGCATGTCTGTAATACAGTGTAATTTGGTCTCCAAACCTTGATTCAATAAGGCTGGAGAACTGCTACCGCGATTCATTCCCCAGTACAAAACACGTTTGTAAAATACAAGCACTGTTTGGTCGCTGACTAACAAGCTTTAGCCGAACCTATAAGGCGTTTTGTACAGCCCAACGTTTGACACGAGTTTGACCTTAAGGGATTCATACCGTGCTGCTGGCATTCCCACGTCTTACAAAGTCTTCGACTTCTTTAACATTTGCTCGCCATCTCGTGCAGTAAATGATCGTCGGAATGAGGATGAGCAGCAAGACCCCGGCCAACGCTCCAACGACGATGTAAACTGAAAAAAAAGTTAAGTGATTTTGGAAATTCTGGGGTAAAAATATTCGAGAGCCGTTGAATGGAATGCTAGAGTGTGAAAATACTACGATTATGTTCATTTGATAACAGCTATGTGCAAATTGAATGCGAGTTACGTGAACGACATCTGTATTTTAACTCATATGAAATTTCTTAATTTACGATCAAAGCTGAATCTAATGAAACAGTTTTTATAAATGCTCGTTAGTAAATTTATGTAAAATGATTTAATTAAATTACTTAATTAAAAATGTTATTTCATTGAATTAAATTTGAATTTATTAAAACTGATTAAATTTCAAGTTTGGAAGCGAACTGAACAGACACTGTCAAATCAAAATCAAAGAGTATCATGTTTGCGTAGTAGTAGAAAATATGCAGCATTTTCATAGAAAACATTTTCAATGGGAATATGGTAAATTTTCTATGCATTTTCATAGCCTTCGTTTTCTTACTTGATTTATAATATTTCCTTTTATTAAAAGCTTCCCTCTGCAATAATATATCCCAAGCCAGCATAAATATTGCGAACGTAATCGATATCAGATTATGTAATTTGCAATCGAACATATCAAGTAACAGTTTAAACTCACACATTATGTTATCGTCAGTACACCAGACGTCTTCATGAATGTAGTAGACCTCGTAGAATTCCGCTTCGTTTAAACGGACATACCAGAACTCTTTCTCACATTTCCCAGTGTCGTCTGTTGCTTTACACGAGCTTTTGTCTTTCAGTTCATTGATATCCTCGCCTACGGGAGCAAGGCATTGCATTAGTGATAAGAAAATTCAACAGCTGTTATAAGATCTTTTAGAGTGATTTACGAAGTGCGAGAAAAATATATCAGTATTGATGCAATAAGATTTTTTGTCCAATAGGTTATACAAGAGAAGTAAATGACATTTTTCTGTGACCTCGTTTCAAATATTTGATGACAACAAACAAATTTCACAACGTTTCAATTTAAATTTTATAGCTGGAGGAAAATATTTCTTTTTAATCAGAGCACATTACCAATGATGTTACTACATAAACGTTAGCAAATTTATGAAGGCGTAATCAACGATAACAAGACTGTACACTGGTATTGCCAGGACTGCCAACAACCTGCACTTAGCGCTGTAAAAAGCGAAAAAATGGTGGAAGCGAAGTGCTCATCTATGTTTTCTGTCTTTAACACGTTGACTAAGTATTGGTACATATGCGTACGACGAAATGTATTTCTCCAGGAGGTAGTGGTTAATAATTCAGGTTGCCTAAAATCGGCCAAATCCGAGAACAAAAAAGGCCGATAATTCAATGTATACTAGTTTATTTGTAGGTTCCGCTATAAAAATTCCATTTATTTTCTTTTTGCAGTATTTAAAATTTAATTAGGAAGTACCCCTATCATAAATTTTAGCCGGCCAACGCAATTGAGAAAAACTAAATCACGGAATTTGTCCGGAAAAAATGACCGTCTGGCAACCCTGCTTAAAAAAGTACAAAAAATGAAATAACCACAAGAAAGAGAACCACAAGAAAGAATTGAGCTTGTTGCGAAGCGAATTACACTCGTTACGTAACGAGCTGGTGGAAATGAAAGATCATCTGCACAAAACAGAAAATACCGATAACACAGAGGGTAAAGACTGCAAAGAGGTCATCTCTGATCTCACCAGCGAGAGCACTCGTGAACTGCTGGATAGAGAGAGAAGAAGACTCAATCTTGTTTGGTTTAACGTTCCCGAAAGCAATGCTCCGGATGTTGAGTTTATTACTGATTGTTGTGCCAAGGCACTTAACGTCATTGTGAATATAACGGCATGCAAGAGGCTGCGATCGAAAGACGCTACCGCATGTAGACCGCTGCTGGTAACTGTTCAGGATACAGCCCAGGTCGAACATGTGCTTAAGGCTGCGAGAAAAGTAAGTGAATTCCCAGGGGGGAAAATTGTACCTGATGAGTTTCAGTTGCCAGATTTTGATTGTTTTCTTAACTTAAATGAAGAGCAGTGCAGTAAAGGTGTAGCTTTGTGGAAAAGAACCTCTTATGGGGCCCAGCAAATCAAGTTATCTGCCGAGCATCAATCAGCTAGAGAATTAGTGTGGAGCGAACTTTCTCTCAAAGGCAAAGATAGCCTCCTCATAGGCGTCGTGTATACTGTATATCACCAAACAGTTCTTCTGATAACGATAAATTTCTAAACAGTCTTCTACCGAGCATCGCTTTCCGTAGGTCACACACGTTGATCGTTGGTGATTTTAATCATCCAGAGCTAGACTGGACATATGGATCCTCTCCAAAGGATGAGAATCACCCAGCATCCTCGTTCATGGAGTCTGTGAGAGACTCCTTCCTAGTCCAGCACGTCACTAAGCCAACCCATTATTGAAGTAAACAGACTTCCAATATTCTAGACCTGGTGTTTACTAGTTATGAATCAATGTTAGATGAGCTTCGTCACGAGGCTCCATTGGCAAAAGCCATCACCAATCATTGTTTTTCAGTCTAAAGTGCTGTACAGAAGAGACGCCTCGAAAGCGTGAGCGTTTGAATTTTGCGAAAGGCGACTATGATAAACTCCGTGAAGCAGTGAATATTTCGAAATGTATTAAGGACATGAATGTGGCTGAGTCATAGTCATTTCTCAAGGACACGGTTATGTCTGCAGTTGATGCGTGTGTACCTAAAATTAAGCTTGGTGGAGCCAAAAAAAATTCAGTGGATGAACAGTACAGTTCTAGCTAAGCTGAAAACAAAGAAGGAAGCCTACCAGCGTTATTTACAGACTCGTAGCGATGCTGACTATAACCTATACGCAAGAGCTCGAAATCAAGCTAAAGAAAGCTGTCGTACCGCAGTAAAAACGCCCGAAAAAAAATATTACTAAAAATGCAAAGAAGAACCCGAAAGCCTTCTTTTTGTATTTTAGCTCTAAGTGCAAAATAAAGGACGGTTTTTCTGATTCGAAAGTAGATAAACGAAAGATATCCTCTGATGAGGGCAAGGCTAAAGTTCCTAACCAGTTTTTCAGTAGCATATTCACTGAAGAGGACTTGAACAGTATTCCAGCTATTAAGGTGCGCCCGCCCAGTCAGCTCTAAATTAGGAAGTTTTGATATACAAGAAGAAGAGGTTCTCAAGCGCCTTATCGCTGTAAATCCAAACAAGTCATGTGGACCGGACGGCTTCCACCCCAGATTACTCAAAGAGTTAGCAACTGTCCTAGCCGGCTCTTTGACGTCATTTTTTCGAAAAACTTTGAACAAAGGGATCTTGCCGGCTGACTGGAAACAAGCTCAAGTGACACCATTATTCAAAAAAGGTGACAAAAGCTGCCCGGGCAACTATCACCCTGTTAGTTTGACAAGTGTCGTTTGCAAGGTAATGGAATCTGTTGTGAGGGATCGACTGATCATTCGACTGCTAATAATATCCTATCAGACTATCAACATGGCTTTATTGCCGGGAGATCCTGCACCACTAACCACTTGTCTACTCTGAACGAATGGACTCGCCTGCTGGACGACAGGGAGCCAGTAGATGCAGTGTGCCTTGATTTTGCCAAGGCATTTGACAGTGTCCCACATGAGCGGCTGTTGCGTAAATTGCAGTCTTTGGAAATTGACAGCAATGTACTCAAATGGATCAGAGATTTTCTAGTAGGGAGACGACAACGTGTCAGTATTAATGTGTCCGTATCAGACTGGGTTTCAGTGCGCAGCGTCGTGCCACAAGGAAGAGTTCTCGGGCCTGTTTTATTCGTTGCGTTTATAAACGATCTGCCAGAAGCTGTGTCTAGCGTGTGCTCGATGTATGCTGACGACACAAAAATTTATAATACAGCGAAGAATGCTTCGCAAAAAGTACAGTTACAAGGGGATCTTAACAGGCTGGTTGACTGGGCTGATAAGTGGCAGCTGCGTTTTAATGCTGACAAATGTAAAGTAATCCACCTTAGCAATAATAATAATGAATAGCAAGATTACAGTATGAGATTATGAGAAGACACGATTGCAACGACAGAGTGATGATGTCGAAGTCGACAATGGAAAAAGATTTAGGAGTTCAAATCGACAATGAGTTGAAATTTTCTAATCATATTGAAGGTCAAGCTAATAAAGTCAATAAACGACTTGGACTGATCAGACGCTCTTTCGAGTTCCTAGATGCAGAAGCGATGAAGCAGTTGTTTGTTGCTGTCGTGCGCCCGAACCTAGAGTTTGGAAACGTCGTGTGGTCACCAAAACTTGAAAAGGACAAAAATTTAATAGAGAGTGATCAAAGACGTGCAACAAGGATAATTCCGGGCTTGAAAGGCAAGTCCTATGAGGAAAGATTAAAGATTATGAAGCTTCCAAGCCTCAGTTATCAACGGAGAGCTAGAACGAAGTATCTGAGATAATGAGTAGTAGCAAAGATATTGTTGGTATATAAAGCATAAAGTCTTACAATCACAAACTCACATTAATGGTATGGAAATCATTTAAGGAAGTAGTTCGGCAAGCCTGATAGTTAGATACACAGTACACGCGATACATTTAATAACATGTAATATTAAATTATTTAAAGTTGTATTTAAAACAATCAAATGAAATATTTTCCACTCACGTGTGACTATGTTATATTTAGTGACCAGTTGGCATTTTCTCGACTTGCAATATTGCTCTTTGTTCGTTTCTTTCACTTTGAAATTCTTGTATTTGTTGAACCACTCGCATTGCATGCACGGCATCAGACTGTATTCTCCGGTGCAGAAGTCTCCACAGTCCTGAAATTTTTTTGCAATATGTCATTTCCATTTTAAATGATTTGAAACAAATTTACAGATTAAATGCAAATACAACAGTCTTTTTCATTGTATATTATTCAAAATGCCGAAATCTATCGCTTGTAGAACATCAAAGCCTTCATGTTCTCTTAAAAAACATATCTGAAGAGGACACTTCTAATAACGAAGATTATTCAGCCAGCTTAAATAACATGAGACAATATATTTCTAAGTTTATGCGTTAAAATTTAGAAAATCTTAATCAAGTCCCGTAATATTACAATAAAAATATTTTGTCTCAGAGCTCTAAAAATATCTGCATGGTATATGGTTTGAATGATTTTGCCGAGTGAATTCTGAATTAATTATGCGGAGATTGGTTATGAGAAATGATTGCTAACCTTGCAGTACTGGCAAGTGTCGCCAAAGAACCAAAAGTTGCCATCTTTTCTGTCGCACACGCACTCGTTGCACTCACAACGTCCTCTGCCAGAGCACATGTCTCCTGATCCACCTGAAAACATTCGAGCGACGCTCATTCATTTGGTTTAAAATGAAATGTATCAAAAGGAAATGAAAGGTTATCGATTAATTTTATAAACCATCTAAAATTTGATTAAATTTGATATTTTTAGAAAAAAAAATCAAAATAATATCACATTATGGCCGATGTATTATGAACGAATAGAGATGCATTGCATTCCAGAGAAATTGCAACAAAAATAAGAAACCTGATACGAACAAGTAAAACTGGATCTGACGACTTAAATCCGAAATAAGATCTCTGAAATAGATATTGTAATACATTTTCTGATTTAGTAAACGTATATACCTAGCTCTTATCAAGAACATCTAAAAAAATATGTTACAAAAGAATTTCAGAAGGTTCAAAAAGAATTTCTGTCGAGTTAACATTCGATAACACTAAAAAATGTCGGCAATGCAAAATTACAAACAATTAACAGTAATAGATTGTCCGAGCTAAATCAGGTATTGCAACGAATAAACTAGATCTAAAAGTAGTGGTTCCACTAATTGTCAAGTCAAGTGGCTTTTGAGAATGCTTTGCTCGTTGAAAAGTCGCCGTAGTAGTCTGGATGAGTCGCAAGTCTCGCAAGACTAATTGCATTAAACAAATGCATTGCTGACGATTCAATAAAATAATAAATTTAATGATTTAATGCCAATAAGACACGCCTATCCATAGATTTTGTATATTGCCATTTTTGCTGTAATTGGAACCTTGTTTGGCACCGATAATTCCTTTTTATTGCCTTAAGGTCGATTTTACTTGTTACATTCCTGGTTGTTTTCAGATGATGCATGTCATTTATCCGAGTTTTAACCTGGAATTACCCTAACAAAATTTAGAGGCGTGTGAGACCCTGCATTTAGGACGCCCAGGACTCGGGGAGCACACGAATCAGATTCAGGAGGTCGCCGGGGAGCTGAAGCATGTCCGCTTCAGCTCAGGGTTCGAAGGGCAGCATCTGGACAGCTGGCGAGCTCGGTATGACCCGGCGCGACCAACTTTTGTTTGTCCTACTCTCGGGCGACTATAAAGTACGATAGGAAATTCTGACTAGAAACTGATTTCAATCGGGTGGCCAAGCAGACCCAGATTAACGTTGCGCCGAGTGTAATGACAATTCAGCCGAAGATTAGGCGGTCCCCGAATTTTGTTAGGGCATGGGTTTCTCATCGTATGCTACGTGTTTGCCGTTCGTGGGAGTTTGGTAAAACATCTCATGCGAAATTTTCGAATGGCTTGCATGTTTTTGAGTGATTTTCTCACTTGGATCACATCTTTCCGTGGCTGTAGGACAGTCGCAAAACTCCCCCGTGTGCGTCGGGTGGCATATGCAGTTGCCGCACCGGCAGTCGCCGTGATTGTAGCACAAATTGTCATTCGTTGGGCCGCAAGAAAAGTCGCTCTCCGAGCACAAACTTTCGCTGCAGTACGAGTGCTGTCAGATAATTAAGAAATCAAAATGTTAATGCAACATTTCGAGTCCTTCAATTGATATTTCACTTCTAATATCGGGAAAATTTATGATGGAAAACTGAAAAGGAATGTTCTTATTTGTATCTTCGTCCTCTTCACATAAGTATTCAAAATTTGTCTCATTTTTCAATTTTAACCCACTCATCGCAAACTTTCACGTTTAGTGCTCTCTTGTACTCTACCGTGCTTCCGCTCTCTTCAAACTGATCACACAAGCACTCTCCGTTGACGCAGCTCCCCCTGCCGCTGCAGACAGCGCCGGAGCTGTCCGTTATGCACATCTCGTTGCTCTGCTCCGAGTCCATCGAGCAGCTGCAGTTCGCTCCGGAGAAGATCCCTTCGCAAGCACACGTTCCGCACTCCAGAGTACCACGACCGCTGCAGCGTGCAGAACTCGCTTGTGGCTCCTGGTAGAGATTTTATAGTTAAGTCGATTACACCTATAATTTCAGAATCTCACTTGTCCTTTCGTTAAGAGCTATATAACCTAGTCACGCAGAAGGCTAAAAATCTTTGTGATGTAGGCCTATAGCAAATATGATAACTAGATTATGATGAATAGTTGAATTTATGTTAGTATGGTTCATTACCAGAACAATACTAACTCGATAATAATAATAAAAATCTCCACTAATGTATATAGACATTTTAATTTATTTGTTCTCTTCTTTATCCTGGCCAGTTCGTTCACCGGATTATTTTGGTACTGGGTTTCTGCGCCGTGACAGGCTGGCTACCCGGGGCTGTAACGCCGGGCTACTTTGCTGTGCCCAGGGAAACTTGTCGCTTCGGTTTATCTTTATACAATTTATTATCCTGTTAATAAGTCTACTCTTATGCGCTGGCTTGCTTTCCTATGCCGGTTTAACAGGCCATTTTGACCAGTCACGCTTGGTTAACCAACCGTGCTAATTCGCTGACTTGTGGTACATAGCTCTCGAGCAGAGCAGAGTTTGCAAAAATTTTTTTAGAACATTCGTAAATATAATTTTACAATTACCAAGAAAATCTGGCTAGTGTTGTCATATAAACGACAATTAAGAGGCTAGTCACAAAGTTCTATCCCATTCAGTATAAGGAAGAAAATTTCTTCCCTGTGAGTCCACATTCTTCATCATAAAATATGCGGCAGATAAATTAGTTACCTCACACTGGCATGTACACAGGAAATTCACGGTGATGGTGGCGTTGATTTTGGCATTGTTCTTGGGGTGGATGGTCAACATTGTCTCCTTGGGTTTATCGGGAGGCGGACATCTCTTCAACTGCAATTATTAAAATCAAATTCTATGTATTAAAACTATCGGACACCGGACATTGCGTTGCTCGGCATGAACGCGTACTGCTGAACAAGGGGGATGCGCAAGCAGGTTTCCTGTTCTAAAACTCCTCCCTTTCTGCTCCGCCAGCCTAGTATAAAAATTGCGAGATGTCATACCGACATACGCAGATGCGCACAGCGCACAACTATGTTGATAAATTAGGGACGATCGCATAGGAAAAGGAACAACTTTTTACCTGAAACTCAGTAGTACTCACTGCAGTGAGTGACAGAAAGCGCATTTTCTCGTCGACGAAGACGTGAAGTCACGGACGGACAGACAGACGGACGGACGGACAGACGGACATGGCGAGAACAATAGTGCATTTTTTCATAAATGAGAAAAGGCGCTAAAAAGAACTGATTTTAAAATTATTCACCAACAATACATGAAGATTGGAGAACAACCTTTTAACTCCCTAGACATAGGCCCGTATGCTAAATAAGGCACTAGCACTACGAATTAGCACTACGCACTACAAGCCGTAGTGTCTACTATAGTGCGACATGGAACACTACGGTTGGCATGCTAAATAGGGCACTAGCACTATGAAGTAGCACTATACGCACTAAAAGCCATAGTGCGGCATAGAACACTACGGTTGGTATGCTAAATAGGGCCCAAAGCATAACGCGCACTACCATTTTTTGAATTTTTTTTTTTTTCTGGAATCATTTTGAATTCTTCTGCAAGAACTTTCCATGCTTCTCTCTTTTGTTCGATGTCTTTGGGAAGCGTGACCTTTGAATATATGATGGGAAAGGTGCGCAGACGCATTGCGAATTTCAGCTCACCATCACAATTTTCACTAGTACCATTATATACCATCACAATTAGACATTTTACATCAATCTTCTGCAAAGAATAAGAATTAATTAGAGATTAATTTATTATTTGAGCACTTAACTACCATTCTTCAATAGACTCATAGCGTAGTGCGCCACTATAAAGTACTCTGACTGCGAAGTAGCACTTCAAAGTCTTTCTGCATACGAATCAGTAGTGCGACACTAAGCGACACTAAACATTGTAGAGCTACTTCGAAGTGCTTAGTGTCTGTGACGTATTTAGCATACCAACAGGACACTTCGTAGTGCATAGTGCTACTTCGTAGTGCTAGTGCCCTATTTAGCATACGGGCCATAGACTCTTATAAGCGGGACCAAAGTAAGGAAATGAACAATAAACAGCATTCCTATTGTCACGTTCGGGAAACCTCAGAATATTGTTTAGACAAAAATTTCTTAACTTGAGTACATACCAATTGCAACGGAAACCCATTGAGTGAAAACGTACTGCATAAAAATTCAAATTCAGAGTGCATATAGTAGAGGAAGTAGAGCAAATATGAAAGCCACGGTTTAGTAACGTTTGAATCTCATTTAATATGTAAAGAAAAGAACAAAAGCTAAAAATGCTGGCACTTACGCTGGTAAACAGATGTCTGAAAACGGCCATTTGATTTTGTGACATTGCAATCAAGAAAAGATAGAATATTGTTGGATTCAAGCTCCATGGTAAATTTGATGGACTTGTGTTGGAGATTAAGATAATAAAGAAAAGGCCAACATGAGAGGGATGCTCGAAAATTAAAAAAGTGTCATCGACATATCTGTTATAGAATAGTGGCTTAAAATCAAGAGGACAACTGGCCAGCGATGTAGCTTCGTGAAAACACACGAAAATATTAGCAAAAGTAGAGCCGAGAGGAAGACCCATGCCAAACCATTAATTTGTCTATAAAATTTGCCAGCAATTGCAAAAAATAAGTTTAAAACTGATAATTCAAGGAGAGTTTTAAAAAAGTTGCGGTTCAAACCCTTGACACAGTCATTGACACTTTCCAACAAAGAATTGAGGCAGAAATGAATAGTTTCACGAAGGGGTATACATATTGGTAAACAAGTTTTCTACATCAAATGATGCCATGGTCAAGTCCTGAACATTAGTAAAATTCTTTAAACGACTCACAAACATGTAAGTATGGTTTACCAATACTAACATGTTACAGTAAGTATTGTATTGTTTGTTACAGTGAGTATTGTATTGTAAATTGATGGTTTGGGCATGGGTCTTCTCGGTCCTACTTTTGCTAACATTTTAATGTGTTTTCACGAGGCTACAATGCTTGCCAGTTGTCCTCTTGATTTTAAGCCTATATTTTCTATAACCGGTATGTCGATGATACTTTTTTAATTTTCAAGCATCCCTCTCATGTACGCATTTTCTTTGGCTACCTTATTCTTCAACACAAGTCCATCAAATTTACCACGGCGCTTGAATCCAAAAATTATAATTGATCTTTTGTTGATTGCAATTACACAAAATTGAAAGGCCGTTTTCAGACATCTGTTTACCTAAAATAGACGTTTACCTACTTAATTGCACCGCTTTTTAAGCTCTCGTTCTTTTCGTTTCAAATTAAATGGGATGCAAACATTAATAAACCGTGGCTTTCGTATTTGCTAAACCATCCATATTATGCACTCTGAATTTGAATTTTTACGCAGTACGTTTTCACTCAATGGGTTTTCGTCGTTATTAGTATATACTCAAATTAAGAAATTTTTATCTAAGCAATATTCTGAGGTTGTTCCCGAACGTGACAATAGGTATGCTGTTTATTGTCCATTTCCTTATTTTGGTCCCGCTTCTGAGGTTGAAACACCACATCGGTGTTTCTGATCTGCGAATTTTAGAGTCCCTGTATATTTTTAAACAAAAGCGTAGTTTAAATGCCGCCTACAGTTCATTTCTCTAGAAATTGTAAATAGATGAGTTTGTCGGCTAATATTTACATCATTTGTTTTCATTGGACGATTCAGGTTTCAAGATCTTCAATGTGAATTTAGTAATGGTAATGGTAAAGTTTTGTAATTGTTTGTACTTCTGTTTTAGGTTTTGAACTGACGATGGAGCTGGCCTCCAAAAAGTTTTCCTACATAAGAAATGGTGGATTTTTTGGCTGTTTTCTTTGCTTATAAATTTTTGATAATCTTGCGATTTAAGCAATCAAGTGATCTTAATAGAAAGAGAACATAACTGAGGGACAAGAAACCCAAATTGTTCTAAATAAAAGCTTTTGGGATTTTATTGTTGAATGAATATCATGTCTAATGATTGTATCGGTATTGACAGCCGTAACGGTATCGCTCACCTTGATGCTGACAGTAATGTCTCCAGAATCGCCAAGCTCCAATCCAGCGCAGGTAGACCCGCTGCCTTTAGGACACTCGGCGGTCAGAGTTACCTCCATGTCTTCCTCCGGGTACCCAGTCGCTACCATGTGGTAAGTAGTCGTGATTCCCTGAAAATTTAAAATTGTTTGCTGAATTAATATAAATTAAATAAATTCGTTAATAAATTACTTGTTTTAATTGGAACTGCGTATTTTGAAATATATTTTTTATCCTGTAAAATAATAGATTGCAAATATCTAAGTCGTTGAGATTAGATTTTAGCTCATTTTCCAATATTTTCAAACTATTCCATTCGAATTATTCATTTTTAAATAGAGTGATATTTATTTTTAGTGGTACAAAGAATTTAAACTTTATTATTCTCAAAACCTATAGGATTACCAATATTTCTTGGATGATGAGATCCACTATGTTGGATGAATCATCCTCAATAAGAACGGTGCTCGATAGCTCAATTTGCTTGCTCAGTGCATCGTACAGAGCTTTTGCCCTCTCAACTACAGCAAAAACCACGTGTACTTCGCTCGCGTTCGCGGCTCTCGAAATCTGGGTTGTGAGAAATTATTCGCACAATCACTCCAAATTCAAGTCATAAAATGTCTAGTCTAGTCTAATCTATTCATAAAATAAAATATGTACGCATACTTTGGTCTGATTTAGGATTGATTTAGAGTAGAGACAATCAAATGACAAAAATTCTTATTAATCAGAGCTTGTTCATAATATTGATTGGGATATTATCCAAAACAAATTATTCGCTAGCCTTCTTCCATTACATACAGTATATACAACCGAATAATGTAATAAAATAGTCGAAAACGAGTTAAAAATTCGGCATTTACTTGATTACTAAATGGAATTGATTTTGAAGATCTGGCTATCCTTTTTTCTCATTTAAATTCGTTCAGCATCTTATCTGCTAGAGTAGCTAGACCAATAAAGGAAAAAAATCCTCAAAACATCGCAATTGCAGTTTTAGTTCATAAGTAGCGGCAGCATCAAATTCGTCTAGACCGTACCAACACTTTTTGACTAACTCGGGATGAGTTTTGAGACGCATTGCGAATGACTAGGCGAAATGTACTCTTTCAATTCAGAACCATCCCGATGAAATAGAAACACTTCTCAGATCGTTGGAAGAAAACATAAATTACATATAAAAACAATAGAAACAGAAAAGAAAAAACAAAAACAGATCGAATAGAAACATGGCAACGTGCCGTGGCAAGCATAGTCAAAATTTTTATACATAGATCGTTTTCGATTCAAGCGAAATTTTCAAGTGGTTAGGTTAGTGCAGTGGTTCCCAAACTTTTTCAGGCTGGCGCCCCCTTTGGCTCCCTAGTGAATTTCTAGCGCCCCCCACAGACACATATAAAAACAAACGCCTCTTTCTTGAATTTAGTACGATGCAATTTTAAAGGATAAAGCTTAAACACAAATGTGTATTTCACAAATAGAACCGCATTTAGTGAACCAATATGTTTTTCAGCTGTTTTAACTGTTTCAGCACTAGAAACCTAGGACGTCTTGGGCAAATTACGGCCGGACTCGTGGCCGGTCTCACGACCAATCTCCAAATTCAATTATCAAGTAATATCTCCCTAACTAATGAACGCAGCTCAATGAAACTTGCAACATGTATTCATCGGAACATAACGGTGATATTTAGCACGTGAAATTTTTTTAAATTTCACCTTCTTTCGGGAGTTATATTGCGATACTGGCCGAAATTCGCAGTGATCAAAGAATTTCTTCCGACCTACTGAACAGATTTGAACGAAAATTTGAATATACATTCCAAACTACGAAACGGTGATTTTTTAGCTACTAAAAATTTTTTTATTTTACCTTCGTTTGCGAGTTTTTTTTCATTTCACCGTCATTCTTAATTTTACAATTCCTTATATTCGGCCCGTATCGCCGGGTAATTTGTTGCTTAAATTCGCGGGTATCAAAAAATTTCTTCTAAACTACTGAACAGATTTCAACGAAACTTTGTATATAAATACCTAACCTCCCATCGGTGATGTTTAGCTCGTGACAATTTTTCTATTTTGCTTTCGTTCGCGAGTTCACAGATGTTGGAGAAACGACCAGCTTTTCTACCGGCCGGTTTAGTTACGTATAGCCGTATAACTCGCAAACGAAGGTAAAATCGAAAAAATTGTAACGAGCTAAACATTACCGTTGCTGAGGTTTCTACTACTACTATTACTACTACATTTTCTACTACTAAATACTAAGTTTCGTTCACGAGCTAAACATTGTCGTTCGGTCCTAATAAATACGTGTACCATTCATCGTGTTAAGTCCATTAGTTTGAGAGATATTCCTTGATCATTGAATGTGGAAATTAGCTGTGAGACCGGCCGGGAGTCCGGCCGTTAAGTTGTCCGAAACATAAACCCAGTAGAGATGAAAAAAAAAACAGATCTGGGTAAAAAAACCATCCCTGGGAGTCATGTGCTGCACGTGTTGCGTACAAATCGCCAAACAAACGTCTGAACTTCTGACTTCTACTTCGGACTGTCGCCCCCCCCCCTACCGCCCCCCTACCGCCCTTTTTTTTCCTTACCGCCCCCAAAAATCTTTCCACCGCCCCTAGGGGGGCGACATCACCCACTTTGGGAACCACTGGGTAAGTGTTTGTTAGGTTATGAGTCTAGTTATTCAGTATCTAATTATTCGTTTGGGACTTGCGCAAAATTTTTGAGCCCGTAATTTTGAAAAAAAAAACTTGTCCCAAATTATGGCTAACAGATGTCGAGGAGGTGACCCAAATAATTAGTTAATATTGATCTAAATAATCCATAGAATTTTGTATAAGAAGCTCATTATACATTTTCCAGCAAAATTATACCAATCTGACCGAATTGTTTATCATCAATTTGTTTAAAATATTGGATTCATCATCAACATGAAATTTCAGTTATATTAAGCCAGCACAGTCTTATTGAAATTGAACTAGGATTAAGCTAGACTTGTGTTGATTATCTGCACAAATCCCGTAATTATAAAGTTTAATCTTGCATGTTTAATTTTTCCTTCGAGTAGCTGGGCAGCCAAACAACCCGGAAGAGGATATTTCTTTTGAAAAGCCACTTTATTTTGTTCTCAAGGATATTTTCATAAACTCAAAGTGCATCGCACAAAAACAAGCTGAATCTTGTATCTGATAATCACCTGATAAACGCTGGGGTAGTCCAATGTGAGCGCCTCCGTGTAGACTTTCCCTTCTCGGTCCATGTGACAAGCTCCGTCGTGAGGTGCCGCGATTCCGGCCAACTGAAGAAAAAGTTAATGTAATGTAATATTGATATTTTGAAAGAACCAAAACGAAATTTCGTCGTATATATAGATTCAACTTGAGACAAATTTTCACATTTTAACTTGAACCAAATTTCAACGTTTAACAAATTTTAACGTACTATTTAAGACGTTTTCATTTACGGTCTAATTTTGTACATCAATTGTCTTCCCGCGCAAATTCCTAAATTGTTTGGTAAATTTTAATTTAAGACGTTTATTTCATTCTGTCGATTTAATGTCGCATTTGTGTATTTTTAACATGAATCTTTTTACGAATTATGAAATAGTTTTGAAATCTTCTAATAATGAACGTTACAATCATTCCTATACAACGATTTTTTACGCAGGGCTGAAATAAGGCAGGCTTCCTTCTTGACAATCACAATCATGGCACACCTTGCTTGGAGTATAGGTATTGAAGGATGCACTGTCTGTCATCTTTCGTTATTAAGCTTTCCCTATAAATCAGTAACCCGTCACTGAATTTACGGGATAGGTGAGGGAGAGTTACCGTCACGACTTGAATACCAGGAAAGCCTATATTGATATACGAAAATTCTCCACCATGCAAATTATTGCGAGTTCTTCTTACCTCCTGATGATTTCAGTTCTGACACTGAGCAGTACGGGATTAAGTATAGACTAACTATCTCAAATGTTGCAGACTATAAAATTTATTAAACCTATAGCGGTAGGTTCTGCTTATACAGCCATGCCGCTCCCAACAGACGTCGGGAGATTATAGTTTATCAAATGGTTAGGTATAATTATGTCACTTGCGCTAAAAGGTATGAAATATATGATCCTATTTAACTGAATTTGAATACTTATTGAAATATTTGACAACCTTGCCATCACCAGCGTAGTGGAAAACAGCGTCGGTTGAGTAGAGGAGAATCTTGGCCGCCTCATCCCTCCATCGAATTTGTTCTTTGCATGCCAGGGCCTGCAGCAGAGCGTCGAAACCTCCCTCTGGCGAGTCGTCGTTCGCCAACACGTGAGTATCACCCACTACTGCCTGTCAAACACGCGGTTAAACATGCAAATCTTAGAACCATCAAGCAGCAGAAATGTTGTTAGAAAAATCTGAAAATTAACTGATTCTAACGTCATGTCCTAAATATTCAGGACTATCCGAACAAACATAAACGATAAAGTGAACCTTTTTAGGTGTATTTTCTCGAGCTTCCTACATCCAATCTCATATATTGAACTATAGCAATGCTATCAATAAAATTCTGGAAGTAGCACCTTTTTTGGTAGAATCAACGTAAAAAATCCAGCTTGAAATAACATTATACAGCTTACAGTTTGGAATTTTTACATCATATGAAATCCTTGTATTTTCTTATATGTATCAACCTCAATGTATTACGATTAAAAAGACTTAGAGTTCAAATATCTAGAAATAGCATTGGGAATCTATGCTCATTGAACAACCTGATGTAGTTCAAATCAAGGCCGACTGGACGAGTAACTTCAAAACATCGATTTGTATTGAATGGTGTCATGGTCAATCAGTGTTATTTTTAAATGAATACAGATCTCTCTCTGTCATTCCAATTTGAGGATTTAGAAACCATTGCATATTTCCAAAAAAACCTTGTCTAAACATCCTTGTGCGGTATCGTACATCAATGTTGTGTATTAGTGCCTTAAATGTAGCGGTATCGTACCTCAAATGTTGCAGTATCGGACGTCTGCAGCGCCATGGCGTTGCAGAAAGTCATGGAGCCCATGGACCCATTACAGTGTTTGTTGGTAGGGCTGTGATGGCTATGCCACCGAAATACAAATTTGTTCATTAAAACCATGTGCAGAAAAGTCAGAATATTTAATCAAATGAGCGTATACCGGTATACGTAATTTTCGGCAAAACGAAAGAAATATTTTGAAGTAGAGTGATTTAGATGATCAAAATGAATTCAGTATGGAGTCATTATAGTTAGCGAACAGTTGTAGTTAGATTAACAAGCAGTAAATACATCACCTAATGAAATACGTCAATCTCCTAAGTTTTAAATCCTTATATCAGTTTTAACGACTTTTGTTTTAAAGATTTTCGTATCGTTTTCAACAAATTTACCCACATAAAAGTGCACTTGCTTTACACACATTCTCGTATCACTTACCCTCTGATTGTTACCATTGCATCTATGTAAGGCAACGTGTCTTTGTCCACGAAAGTCCCGAAACCAACGTTGAAGCTGTAAAGATGTTTCGTATGACCTCTCATTAATAGTATGAAGAATCATTTTTTTTTGAAAAAATGATATACTTTACTTCATTTCAATTAATATTAATATTGGAATTAATATCTAAGTGCTTCAATAATCACTAGTGACAAAAATCAATATGGGCCCTGAATTTTATTTTTTTTTGGGCGCAATTATCAGCATAAAGGATTATCGGCAATGAAGATTATCTGCACAAATGATTTTCTACTCAAACAATTATCTGCTATCATCAGTTTAATTTGTGATGAACTTATCTGAAAAATATTTCAGTGTACGTTGATGGAGATGCATGTTCGTATGGAAGAATTTTTCACTGTAAGTGGCTTGCAGCCCGTCTGTCTGAAAATTATCTTACTCGCTCGTGTGATTTTTGATCTTCTCTCCTAGTGTGCTTGCCAGATTTTTGATACTTTCCAAATCATCTCTCATGCTCGAGGAGATGTCCATCAGGTAATATAAATCCACCTTAGGTTCCGAGGTCATAGTCAGGATCAGAGGAACCTCCACGGTGTCGCCTGCACGGAAACAGCGGGTTTAGGAAGAGGAGGATGGACAACTATAAATAAGGAAGGACTCTCATACAGGCGTCTGACGGCCAAAGAAGTACAATAATTTAAAGATACTTTGGAAATCAGTCGACTCTTGAACTTGTACAATGTAGAACTATGTATGTCTGTTGACTACATAGAATGTCAGTACAGAATGTTTTAAGTTTGGTTCAAATGGATTAAGACTAATGACTGGAAATTTCTGAAAAATCAAAATAAAGAAATAAATTGATTAGGTTTGACTAAATATAATAAATTTCCGTGTATTTATTTGACGCAACGGCAGGTCCCATTTGCAGGAACTTACTTGTCCAACACAGAGGCAAGCAGAATAAATTTATTTTAATATATAATAATACAAGAATAATTATAAAAAAAACTCTATTCGATCAACATCGAAAACAAGTTAAGTAGAGAATCACTCGTTTTAAGGCCGGAAAAATTCATGAACGATTGAAAAATATATTAAATTATTAAAATTAATGAATTGATCTCCACGTAATACGAGGACATCCTGTGCACTGGCGATTTCCTCACCGCTTCTGATGTCAACACTTGTACTGTGAGGCGTCAGCGTGGCTCGTACGTATTTGTTGGCCGGGATTAATTTTCTATCGCTCCGGTATCCGCTCTTTAGTTCTTGCAGTTTGCCATCCGTGCATTTGTGGAGCTCGTCAGGTCCGAGGCAAGCACTCTGCACCAGCGATAAAATAATTAAAAAAAATATAATCATACAACGAAATGACCGACATGGGAACTTGTTTATTGAATAAATAGAGAAATTACGCATATCAAATATGATACATTGACTAATTTTACAAAAATGATAGAAATACATAGCAATCCGACCATCTGATTATGTATATATATATACTCTAATTAACAGGGACAACTAAAACACCGGGCGAAAATACCCGTGAAAAAAAATGCTTAACAAGGCCAAATGATAAAGCTAAGAGCCGCTTTGGCAGTTCGACAGGGATGCAGAATTGAATTTTCGCGCGAAAGACAACGATAATTAAACTCTTATTGCATCAATAGAAGCAACGTTATATGCACCATAAAAATTATTTACTAGCTGTGGACAATAGTACGCAAGATAAATTATGTGTTTTCAACAAAATTTGCCGCTGTTATGGACTATTTTTTCTGCTTGCAGTGCATTGATCGAATTTATTGGGTAACTAACTGACAAATAAATGACCATATTCAGTTGCGAACGCTTTAATGGGCGTTATTATGGAAGAAATCTTTAAAATGACGATGTACTACATAAAAACAGTTTATAAAACCAAAATGGACAACTAAAGTTCTTACGTATACGACAACTATTACAAAACAACTTGAAAATGAGTTATCAACAGAACCTGGATATTCCCACCTTGGGCACAGCGTCTCTGAGGCACCAGTTACAGGTGGGAGCCTCGATGCACTTGTTGCAAGTCTCGTACTTGTTGCACACACTTGACGATTTGCTGGAATCAATCAACAACAACGAGCAAAAAACTAGAAAACTTATTCGATAGCCGTGCGAGCTTCTCTTGGTCACCATGGCACCACAGATTGTGCGTCGAATTATCAAATTGGAAATTTTTAGAATAAAGTTTTGATACAAATCTGAAAAGTGGGAAACTTAATACAAATAATGGTTTTCTCTCACGCTTTAGGCAATTGATTCTTCACTTTGAGCTGTAATTGACTCAAATCAATAATTTTGATTGAAGATAATTTATTAAAATTTATTAGATTTTGGGACTTGTTAGATTTTTGTAATTTTTTGGGTGAATTAAATGTTGTTAGTGAAATGAAACATCACAAGCAAATAACTTGCTTGAATGAAACAAAATTCACTTAATTCAAAGTAAGTTCGTTGTAGAGCGAAACAAATTCTTTGTGATATTGCAGTAGTTGAACATGAGGCAGATCACTCTCCAGCGAAACATTTTTCAACCTAAACCTAGAGACAACGACACGCGAGCCAACTCGATCTGTTTTATAAATGAAAATTGCTCCTGCAAACAAAACTTGTTTAAGAAGGAGACTGGAAATAATTGCAACTAACTTTCGTTGAAACGAAATTAAATTCTTCAGTAGAGACACCACGGCACTGTTTCTTGTGCGAATGAATGTTCCTTTTCAGTGGAAATCTAGGAGCTTTCTGACGGATGTATTCTTTTTAAGTTAAGGCTCTCAGTGTTATCAGGCTCTACGAGATAAGAAGTCAAGCTAACTGATTAAGATGTTGCGAGTTTGCAAGTTTATAGTTCCGTTTTCGCATCACAGACATATATTTTGATAATTTACATGCAAAAATTTTTTGATGATTTAATAATTATTTAATAATATTATAATAATCAATCATTTAATAATTTTATACAATTTTGATAATTAGACAATCTGAAAAATATTTTACACTAGATTTCCGTTACATAATGCAAATGCTGAATAATTTTAGTTTAGGTTGCGATCTATTCATTAGACTCTATTCTAAGTAAAGAAACCTCTATTTTCTGAAATTGATTGGAAAACCAGATGCCATTCATTGGATACGTCTGGCTGAGGAATATCAGTTCCTCAATCTGCTGGAAGCCTTCTTTGCAGCAGATACCGTCCTTTATTGTCCAATAGAATTGTAACTTAACATTCACACCTGGAATTTGCTCATAAAAACCCTGTTCTCAATTATTGCTTAGCAACCCTATTCCCTCTTTTATTTGGTGCAAAATCAGCAGAGCATTTTCTGCCTATGTTATATGCAGGTCAACTTTGCAGCGCCGGTTTACTCAACAACTCCGAATTAATTTGCCACGCCGTGTTGCCTTACGTCGCGGGATTACCATGCCACTCCTTTTTACCCTGCATAGTTAGTAGAACCTTATGGCACGCAGGATTACCTTGTTATGTCAGTGATACCTGCACGTTATCACATGAAACCTATAATGTAAAGCTGTGGTATCCAGGTAGTTGTTTATTATCGACTGCAGTTAACCTAGGCTCAACTTTCTTCGTTGTTACAAGCGCTTCAGAAGTGAAATTGAGGGCGCTCACTCCTCGGAGACGTTTTCTGCATGTTGGCGTATAGTGGCGTTAGCCCTGAATAGGCCAAATAAGGCCTTTCACAGATTCTAGCCATCGAAGTATTCCTTCAGATTGCTGCGGTTTTTAATCCGCAACTCACTGCTCTAATTTTGCTATTCCCAAACAACACTACCACCTTACCGATTTTGACAATAACGGTGACAAAATGCTGGGGTCGAACCAGCAACTCATTGCTCCAATCCTGCTATTATGATCTGAAACTGCTGGGTCGCCCTGCCATAAACGATGCTCGTAAATGGTCGTACAGTAAAATCGTGTAATATCAAAATTAGTGACCAATCGTTGCTATCAATTTCCCATATTTCACGATCAATTCTAATTTACAAAAGACATGTTAACTAAAACGACAGATCATCAAATTAAGATTACGTACCCATGTCGAATTCTAGTTTAAATTTGTTACGAATTGTAGCTCAAATACTCGGTAATAATATGACTTGTCGCCGATTCATGACATCGCCGAATTCTGGCAGTTGGCTGGGATCAAACCCGCAAATCGTTGCTTCAATCCATTCTCTGAACTTTAAACACTCGGTCACCCTGCCCAGTAAATGAAATTAATGCCGACAAAAATAATTATCTTCTACGCATCACAATTGTAAATGTTTAAATAAAAATATTATTATGGCAATAATATCAGCATTGGATTCGGACCAAATAACACAAACTCTTGTTGGCTCAAATACTTGCTATGAATTTATTTCCACTCACATTATCCCATTAATGGTAAATAGAATATACATCTGATCAATCTGATCCGCTCCTATACGTCTTGATGACGTTATGGTGGTCGATTCCAGATCAACATTTCAAACGATATGCTGTCAAAATCTTTCTACCTTGCTTCATCAAAATCAACCTTATTTTTGTGGAACCTTGTAGGCGCATCTCTGAGGCCAATAAGTGTAAGACTCTACAATTTATTATGCATGGAAGCTGCTCCAATTAAATAACATTGTAATAGCCGCAACGTGATTGATTGTTGAAAAAAATTCAAGTTTGTTTTCATTGGTTGGGAGGTTCGGCATGCAAGGAAGGTTCGGCATGTATTTGCACGTCGCAACTATTTCAAGATTATTCATCTTTTAGAAAAAATCAACATTTGAGCCAATAAATAATTCAACCCTACACTTTTCACGGGTAGAATATAAACAACCATCGAATAACGAAACTATTCCTGAGGCACTGTCTAGAAATGTCGTTTTTGAAACATTCGTTTCTGATAGTGCATCCAATTGCTGCAATTGAGAACGTTAAATTCGGAGCAAACGCGTTCACTGTTCGTCTGCTATCGTGAGGTTACGTTTTGAAAAGCTGGGCTTTTGCCCCCTTTTTACAACGCTTCTCTTTACCTTCACTTCTTGTTTGTTTGCTTGTTTGTCTGTCTGCTACAAATCTTATAATCATTATAATCAATTTTTAGCACACTTCTACCTTTCCAATCGATCTGAAATTGTGTAAAGTTGTAAAAATTGCCAATTTGCCAAGTTGTGTAATCACCAATTGTGTAAATCAAACTTGTGTAAAGTTGGAGACAATGCATGAATCAATTGACAGAATAAATAATTTTTAAAATTTAAAAAATTTTATTTTCTGATATTAAAAAGAAGTAAAAAAAATTATTTTGTCTGTTAAATAACTTATAATAAGTATTTAGCATACTTCTACCTGTCCAATCGATCTGACAATGCACGTATCAATTGACAGAATGAATAATTTTGAAAATTTTTATTTATTTTTAATTTTAAAAATAAAATTAAAAAATTAAGTTTTTAATATTTCATAATAAAATTAGAAATTCATTGTACATGTGTAACACCGGAGACACTGGATTCTTTGGAAGTGTTGTCTTTAAAAACTAATTTTTAAACGCGTATTATTTCATGTGTTTGGTAGACTTGGAAGTATTAATGAAGTAAGTAACCTTGGAAGTAATATTTTTTAACCTATATTGATTATCATTCAATTTAGTGATTCTTTCTAGGTGATTCGTTTGTGCTTTTGAATTCACTCACCTCATATGCTGATGTTACATTTCCTTTGTTACCCTAGCTTACTTAATTGATTTAAAAGGTTTCTCTACAATTTTTTTAGCTTTCCTTTTACCGCAGCCTCGGTAGCCCTCACCAAGGCCTTCTGTTTTCCGAGGTCTTACTGAAGGGCGCTCATACAAGAGGGAGCCCGTCCTGTGGTCGATCCTCTGGCGCTGAGTCTTGCTATTCAATGCTGGCCTCTTGCTGGGTCTCGAGTGCAGCTCTTTTATGAGCCTCTACGACCCTCTACGCAAGACTCGAGTCTTTGATGGAAACCCAAAGGCGTGGCGAACGTGATGTGCAGACTTTTAGAGTCGCCACAAAGCTACCCTTTTAATTATCAGATTTTTCAATTTATATAATGGGTAGAGAATGTGTTGTCGGCACTTGGGTAAGTGGAAATTATTAGTTATAAGGTAAGATGACAATAGTTTGAACCTTGATTACATAACTTAGTGTAAGGAATTTAATAATTTTATTGATGTTAGAATAATTGTGTGCCTCAAACACTGCTGCACGAAAATGTTTCAACTTTTTTGGGGTGTCTCGAGTGAGCGGTGTATCGAATTTTCTATTCAATCTGTTTAAGTTTGTGAAAATGAAAATAAGACCGTTCATGATCGATGGGGTAAAATCAAAGCCAGCTTCAACTTTGAAACCAAATATTTCCTAGCTATTTTAAGGGGGTTTCAAATGACCTTTTTCAAACGGATGTCCACGTACGAGAAAATAACGAATAATGGATCGGCCTTTTTTGGTATATTATGGAACTATTCCAGAGAGCTCATTCTCGAGCTATAAACGAATCATTTGAACTTTCAAAGCAGGAATATAATTTCTGTCTGTCAATCATCTGAGTTGACTTTCATCCCTCGAATGCATCTAATATCCACCCAGAAGCAGGGATCTTTCGATCATCCAATATGTTGAATCATCAGGGAATTTCTGTCAGTTCGGCTGCACATTTTTGAGTAGCTTGGTGCCTGTGGGGCGTTGCAATATTTAATCCGGAACGGTGGAGTGAGCGCTCGAACGACTATTGTACGGCAAATAAATTCCGATACGCAACGTATTTTTTCTTTGACGCGTGAAAATAGAGTTCTCATTGGAAAGACAACTTAAAATGCTCAAATTGTTCGGAATTGTTTCTGAGAAATGTTTGAGATAAAATTTTTCATTGTTATAGTCGTTAAATAAGGGACATAAAGTTTTTAAATTATTTGCAAAAGAAAGCTCGCAGTCGTTTCATGTCCTCGGGTTATCAAATTCGCAACCATTTTTAATTTTACATAAAATTTAATGAAAAAAAAATCGTTTTTTCTCGAAATTGAAATTTTTGTTCATCGAACTTGAGAAGTATTGTTGAATATATCAGCTGTGATAGCAACAATATAATATTACAGGTGACAATTTTATTATAGTGACAATTTTAACTCGAAGAGTCCACCTGAAGGAATTGCAGAACTCAATCTTGTAAATTAGCTTC